GGTGAGCTGAGATCGCGCCATTGCACTCCAGCCTGGGTTACAAGAGCGAAACTCCATCTCAAAAAAAAAAGAATAAAGTGGACGAGAATTACTGCCTTTCTGGTCTTACATTCTAGATAATGAACAGAATACATTAGATGGTGACAAATGCTATGGAGAAGGTGGAGTGAGAGTGAGGGTTGCGGTTTTAAGTGGGATGGTGAAGGTGAGAGAGGGAGCCAGTGTGTATATACTTGGGGAGGCCTGTCAGGCACACGGAGCAGCGATCCTGGGCAAGGAGCACCTGGGGTCTTTGTAGCCAGGAGCCCATCAGAACCAGAATGATTGGAGAGGGGTGGGAGTCACGGTGTGTCTGGAGAGAGGCCTCAAGAACTTCCGCTGTCTCCCCTGTGGATGATTCTGAGCAAGGAGTGACACGACCCAGTCCAGGAATGGTTTGGCAGCATCACTCTGGCAGCTTTCGCCTGCCAGGGGCAGGGGTGGCAGCAGGGAGACCAGGAAGGGAAGCTGGGTGGAAACTCAGGCTTGAGTGGTGGGAGAGGGGTAAGAGGTAGCCAGATTCTGGACACCTTCAAGAACTTGATTCAGATGTGCCAGTGAGTGGGTCATGGGATGTGAGAGGCAGAAGAATGACCTCTGAACAGATAAAACATGCAGGCTAATGGCCGCCTCACGGATGGAAAAACTGAAGCTGAAAGAGCTGAAGTGACTTGCACCAAGGTCATTTAGTTAGGAAGTTAGTGAAGCTGGGACATTCACCTAGGAATCTGCACTCCAGGCGCCACGCCTTTCCCTGGTCCTTGCTGCTAACCTCCTGCCCCGGGCTTCTGCCCTGCCTCACCTGGCCAGGACTGAGTCAGCCGACCACGAGCACTTCAATTCATCTTGCCTCCACAGTGTCGCCAACTACTAATCCGCGATGTTGAGACATTTGCTGTTGAAACCTCTCTTGTGATTAACCTCGGCCAGAGATGTCTTTTTTCTTTACTTTCACTTTTCCTTTTTTTTTTTTTTGAGACCAGGTCTTGTGCTGTTGCCCAGGCTGGAGTGTAGTGGTGCAGTCAGTGCTCATTGCGGACTAGAAATTCTCGGCTCAAGCCATCCTCCCTTCTCAGCCTCCCAAGCAGCTGGGACTGCAGATGTGCACCACAACGCTGGCAGAGCTATTCCGCTCAGTGTTGATGAGAGAAACTCAGAGAGCAGTCAGTACTTCCAGTCCATGTCTCCTTCCAGAGTTTTCTCCCAGTACCTCCTGTAAAGGTCTAACACTTTTCAGTGAATTTCCCTTTTCATTAGACTCCTGTTAATTGCGGAGTTTTTTTCTTTACTGATACTCACAGCACCAGCTAGATCAGATGGTCAAGAATCCTCCCTCGGAAAACACTGTTCAGTTCTTTGAAGTGTCATTTTCAGCGCCTTGCTCTGGGTGGGATGCCCCGATGCCTTCATCTTACTGAGCTTCACTTTTTTTTTTCTTTTGGCTCAACCATGGTTTAAATTGATGAGGAGAAATGCTTTGGATACCAGTGAGTGCCAGATCAGTGCTTGCTAAAATTGCAAGCTTCCTGCTGCTTTAGGCCTTAGAGACCCAGGGCTTGTGTATATTCTCCTCACTCAGGAGCATCAGGATATCTCAGCCATTAAGCAGCCCTGTCCTTTGGCCTTGTGGTCTGGGCAGCTGCTCCAGGGTTAGACGAGGCTTTTGTCTTCAGTGCTGTTTCCCTTGGAGTCTAAGACATAGTCATGCATGAAAAAAAAAACGACGTGCTTCCTCAAGACATCCCCAACCAACCCCCAAACACACACCAGGAACGCGCACTTGACTAGGTGACCTTCTGTTATCCGCCTGTATGCACCCTGACCTAGTGTAAGAAGCAGAAGTTGCATTTAAAATGACACGTGTTGTACAGGCTCTGGTGTGTTTCTCAGGCAGCACAGGTCTGGCTATAGACACAGATACATACACAACCCCCAGCTGGACAGACACGGGTACACACACGCACAGCGGACTCCTTGCTACCCACACCCGTGCTCCCTGGGTGTACTCCCTTCTCCTGCGGGGCCAGGCCCCGCTGTGCCCCTGACAATACGGTCCCCTCTCCTTTATGAGCAGGTCATAAAGCCAGGACCCAGAAGGCAGTGTCAAGGCTGTGGAGAGCTTTCTTCTGCCTCTTGGCTTTGTGCTCAGGTCCGAGAACTTACCCCTCCCCCACACCTCCATCTCTTGGACAGCTCACTTTCACTTTTCCCTCCCAGTCACAGGCCCTGACCTTTCCTGACCAAGACTGGAGGTGGGCCCAGGCAGGGGAGTGGAGGTGGGCAGAGGGTGCCTGGCACCGTGTCGTCAGAGCCCAGAACCCTGACTTCGTCCACACTGAGCACTCTTCCCCCAGCTTCCATTGTCAGCTCGTCCAAGATTCCCTGGCTGTGGCAGTGTCTAGCACACCTGTTTGGGTGTTCTCATGGCTGGGGCATAGGTACAGACCTGTGGGCTATGTCTCACCGTGACATGTGCTGTCATGGAAGTAAGCAGCTGGCTCCCCCTGGAATCACAGGAGGGTTCTGGAGAGGAGGTAATGGTGGCTGGGATGTGGGGGTTTCTCAGCTTAGGGGGGTACTCCAGGCAGAGGGGGAAGCAAACCCAGGGATCATGAGCAGACCTGGCTCCGTGGGCACCCCTGAGAGGTGCTGTGTCCAGAGCCCAGGCTTGCAGGACTGAGGCCGCCAGGTGGGAGGTGGGCTGAGCAGTCTCAGAGGAGGGTCTGGGGCCCATCTGGGAGAGGCGCCCCTGGCCGCACGTGCCTTCTGTCCGTCCTGCTTCAAGTGCTCTATGCATTGCCAATGTGTGACCTTGAACTCCTCCTCCTCCTCATCACACCCTGTCTGTGTTTGGCAAGGCAGACCTAAAACACTGGTGCATGAAATACTGCTTCTGCAGTGTTGATTACTACCCCCACTGTTTTCCATGTTTATCATTGTTCTAGTGTCAGATTCCTAGGCTCTGTTTACAGAATCATTCAGTTGCTTGTGACAGCAGTGTGGCTGAAGTGATGAGGGTAGGGAAGGGAGGAGAGGCATGAGCGCAGCAGGAGGCCTAGCACGGGGCAGGGTGGGGCGGGGCTGGACATGTGTCTGCTGAGCACCTGGCACATGGCCAGTACAGGTAAGATGGGCTATGCATGGAAAATGCAGGTTGAATTGATCTGAATATAAAACATGTCCCCAAGAAAGAATTCTTCAGTTAGAAACCAGACCCATCCTTTTCTAGTCAAGTCATGAGAAACATGGATTTGCCAAGTCCCTGAGAAAAGCAAGCCCATGGTGTACCATCCCAGGACCACCTTCAGGCAGCCCCCGTCCTTCCCGGTACCCAGCTTCTCCCTCAGCCTTCTGCTTTTTGTTTAATCTCCAGGAAACTTGGAATTTTTCTGAAACACACTTGACTCTGTCTCTGTTGCTGCAGGCATGAGCTTGGTCTCCTGACACGGATCTCAGTTCCTGATGCCATTTCCTGGGGCGGCTCCTGTTGCTGCCCACTCCCGCTAACCTGTGTTCTCCCCAGCTGGCTTTGCTGGCCCCAGGCTCTGCCCATCAGCCCTTCCTCCATGTCCTCACAGAGTCTGTCATTAGCCCAGCGCTCATCATGCAGGACGCTGTCACGATAGTAGCACTCTCTGTGGACTTCCAGCTATGGTCCAGGGTGCTAGGAGTTTCACATGCATTCTGTGGGCTGATTCTTCAAAAAGAAGGACATGAAGCTCAGAGAAATGAAGTCACTTCTCTGAGTGCCCACAGAAGGGCAGGACCAGAATTCAGACCAGCCTCCGGGACCCTAAAACCTTTTCTCTTTCTGTAGTGTGAGGGGACTCTACTCAGGTCCTGTGGCTCCTTCCTCAAAACCCCAGAAGAGCAGCCCAGGATGAGCTCTAGCCTGGGAGGCCCTTCCGTGTGCCCCCAGTCTTTGTAGTCTCATCTTTCACAAGATGGGCAGGAGTCCGTGGAGCATGTGCTTCGAATCAACCACCTTTGATTTGCAATCGGGTCATCGCAGTGTTCTGAGTAGCCTGACCCTCTTCTAGGAAGCCTTTTCCTGACTGGGGAGGTTCCCTTTCTCTTTAAAATCTTGCCACTTGCTTTGGACTCTCTTTATTATATTCCTGCTTCCTGGCTGGAGTCATCAATATTTGGGTTTCATTGCCTCCCCTTAAGGACAAGCGTTGTCTGTTGCGTAGCTTTCTGTGCCTAGCACCTGACAGTCATTCCGTTGGGAAAAATCGTGGTGGAGACATCCCTGAGCTTGCACAGGATGGCTCAGGCCGTGAGTCTGAAAGAAGAGACTGCTCTGTGACAGACTGTTGGCTTTGCCAAGTGTGGCTCGTTGTCCCAAGAAAGAAAATCTGATTACCAGGGTGGCCAATCAAAGCTGCACCATCCTTAAAAGATATTTCTCTCTCTTTTCTGGTAAAAGTACTATATAATTCTGCATTCTCCTGAGTTCCAAGTCTTTCATAAATGGATGGAGAGTCAGAAGGGCTGCACGTTTCCACTCGAGGCGCTATTGGGACCTGTTGGTTTTAGTAGTACTGTTGCCTTGCAGATAAAGGATGGAATCAGAACATTGGATTATCTTTTTCATGTTCTTTACCTCCTCAGGCTTACCAGCACATTGCTTGGCAGCATTGTTATCTATGTTTATGTTGTTAATATCCACTTGGGAGCACAGGCTTCCAATTAAATTGCACATAGTCCCTGATGTCTTAACCTTTGCAAATGGTATTGCATTAGCAATACACTCTTTAACCTCCACCTCTCAATCTCACACTCAACTGCAGCTCTTAACTTTGAGTAATGTATCATAGACATTTTGTAACAGTTTCTTATTCTGAGTAAGATACAGATGATTACCTTCTCTTGGGAGTATGTTACCAAATTTTTTCATCAGATGAAAAAATCTTGTTAGCTGTGTCTTTTAAATCATGCCTTTGTTTTGTATGTTTTAGTTTCTTCAGATGGAGGTACTGAGCCCTCTGCCTTAGTGGATGACAATGGTAGTGAGGAGGACTTCAGCTTTGAAGACCTCTGCCAGGCCAGCCCTCGGTACCTGCAGCCTGGCGGGGAGCAGCTGGCCATCAATGAGGTACTGGAATTCCACGAGACAGTGGCAGATACGGGATACCTGATTTTCAGGGTCCACAACCACTTCCAACTTTGTTCTCTAGTTCTTGACTAAGCATGTCCTAAAACCTAGAACTCTGATTAGAACTGTGATTCACTTTGGGAGGCTGAGGCAGGTATACCATTTGAGGTCAGGAATTTAAGACCAGCCTGGCCAACATAGTGAAACCCTGTCTCTACTAAAAATACAAAGTTAGGTAGGCGTGATGGTGCGCACCTGTAATCCCAACTACTTGGGAGGCTGAGGCATGGAGAATTGCTTGAACCTGGGAGGCAGAGGTTGCAGTGAGCCAAGATCGCACCACTGCACTCCAGCCTGGGTGACAGAGCAAGACTCCACCTAAAAAATAAATAGATAGCAACACTGTGATTCTCCAGTATCATCCAGGAAAATGTATGCGATTAAGCTTTCTGGGTAGAGGCAGCTCATCTTTTTAGGTAAAGAGCAGCACCCATCAGTGTGTGCGGTCAGTGCTTTCCACCTGATGAAAGAATACTCTTATCTCATATAATTCTCATAGCTGATCTAAGAAGCGGACATTATGGCTGTTAGCCACATTTTCATCAATGTTCTGAGCCAAATATGTCTAATTACTTGCCTGCGAATGGCAGAGCTGGAGATCCCACATATTTCTCCCTGCAAATCTGGTGGTCCTTCTGCTGCCCTGCAGCTTCAGCCTTTTTTTTCGGAAATCATTCTGGAAGGTACCTCCAGCTTTTGGTGTTCTTGAGCAGAATATGTGGCTCATAACTCCTCAGAGAGTCAGCCTCGCCACTGAGATCGCCAGTGATGTGTGTCCTTGAGTGCTAAGGAGATGTGCAAAATCACCTGCTCCTACAGCCAGTGGATGGAGGAGCCACATCTGTTCCTGACTTTTTTTTTTTTTTTTTGAGACGGAGTTTCGCTCTTGTTACCCAGGCTGGAGTGCAATGGTGCGATCTCGGCTCACCACAACCTCCACCTCCTGGATTCAAGCAATTCTCCTGCCTCAGCCTCCCGAGTAGCTGGGACTACAGTCGCGCACCACCATGCCCAGCTAATTTTTTTATATTTTTAGTAGAGACAGGGTTTCACCTTGTTGACCAGGATGGTCTCGATCTCTTGACCTCGTGATCCACCCGTCTCGGCCTCCCAAAGTGCTGGGATTACAGGCGTGAGCCACTGCGCCCAGCCTGTTCCTGACTTTTTAATTGTTAACGATCTCAAGATTATGCTATGTTCTCTTTAATTGCTGTAAACTAAAAAGCTGCAAAACTTACTCGAATTGTGAGTAAAGTGTGAGCGATCCACGCAGGAGGGAGATGTGAGGAATTTCCAGTAGCATGTGTGCATAGCTTTAGTAGGCTTGGCTCAATCTAGTATGGCTGCCCAGAAACCATTTTTGGAACAAATATTTCAGAATTTATGTTCGCTAGATAACTGACCTGCTGCTAAGTGAGTGACTTATACTTTTTTTTAAAAAGGGGCTTACCTGCCTGCCTCCCTCCCTCCCTCCCTTTTTTCTTGCATTTTGCTCTCATTGCCCAGGCTGGAGTGCAGTGGTGTAATCTCAGCCCACTGCAACCTCTGCCTCCCAGGTTCAAGTAATTCTCCTGCCTCAGCCTCCCAAGTAGCTGGGATTACAGGCATGTGCCACCACACCTGGCTAATTTGGTATTTTTAATAGAGATATAGAGTTTCACCATCTTGGTTGGGCTGGTCTCAAATTCTTGACCTCAGGTGATCCACCCACCTCGGCCTCCCAAAGTGCTGGGATTACAGGTATGAGCCACTGTGCCTAGCCTAAGGGCTTTCTTTAGAGAGGTCCTGTTGTTTCTTAGTCTGTTCTCCTGGGTTCTCTGTGTATAACCAATCACACAGTTATTGTAGACCAAATGCCACCAGCATATCCAAGTGAGAGGACTGCAGCATCTCCCTGAGAGAGAGGCACCTAGCAGCCCCCTCACCGACCCACACCCCCCTCCCACCCCCCCATAGTCTGTGCTGAGCACACCCCACTGTCTCCTTTCAGCTGATCAGTGATGGCAATGTGGTCTGCGCAGAAGCCCTGTGGGACCATGTGACCATGGACGACCAGGAACTGGGCTTCAAAGCTGGGGATGTCATCCAGGTTTTGGAAGCCTCCAACAAGGACTGGTGGTGGGGCCGCAGCGAAGATAAGGAAGCCTGGTTCCCTGCAAGCTTTGTCAGAGTAAGTATGGGGCACCTGCAGCTTTTCCAAAGTATCTGTTGGGGCCGGAGGACCCTTTCAGGTCAGAGCTCGCCCTTTATCCAGGGTTAGCAGTTCTTTTGTAATTGTTTGGAATCTGACATGCAAGTCGCATTTATAAAAAATTAGGCTGGTTCAGAGCAAAAATGTTAAGGAAGGCAAGCGAGTTGCTCAGTGTTTCTCTGTGGTCCTGGTGCCTGCTGGCAAAGCCCTGGCCCTGCTGAGGTCACAAGACTCAGGTGAGAGCCAGGCTACCTTCCCAACTAGTCATGGGAAGGTGGGAACCTGGGAGGTCTCTGCTCCATGCCGCCCTCCCCCACCCCAAGTCACCTGTCACCTGTGTGTGGGTTGCAGCTGCGAGTGAATCAGGAAGAGCTGTCGGAAAACTCCAGCAGCACCCCCAGCGAGGAGCAGGACGAGGAGGCCAGCCAGAGCCGCCACAGACACTTCGAGAACAAGCAGCAGATGCGGACCAACGTCATCCGAGAAATCATGGACACCGAGCGGGTGTACATCAAACACCTCAGGGACATCTGCGAGGTGGGACGCCAGGCCAGGACCTCACTGAGGGCCACAGTGTGAGGCTGCGTGAGGTGCCTGGGCTTTCTCCCCACCTCCACCCCCCACCCCATCAGACTCCCACATGTACACACTTGTCCACTGCTCATTTCTCCGCCCCTGCTGTCTGTACTGCTCAGCCTGAGTGCTGCGGCTGTCCTAGCTGTTGGTGGAGGTTTCTTAGAGTTATGGTCTCTTTTCAGAGACAAGGCTTTTCTTAGAGATAGGGTCTTGCTCTGTCATCCAGACTGGAGTACAGTGGTGTCATTATAGCTCACTGCAATCTCAAACTCCTGAGCTTTAAGCAATCCTCCCTCCTCAGCCTCCTGAGTAGCTAGGACTACAGGCATGCACCACCACGCCCAGCTAATTTTCTAAATTGTATATACAGACAGGGTTTCACTATGTTGCCAGGGCTGGTCACAAACTCTTGGACTCAAGTGATCCTCCTGCCTTGCTTTCTCAAAGTGCTGGGATTAGAGGCATGAGCCAGTGTGCCCGGCCCCTCTCTTAATTGTACTCTGCAGCTCTCTCTATCAGGACCTAGTTGCTGAGATTAGTTGAAAAGAATGGCTTTCACAGAAGGCAAAACCCTCACTTGACTTTACAAAGAGTCAAAGGTTTGTCACTATCTGTACACCACTATATCTCATCACTGACTCACAGATGAGATCCCGAGTCATTTAGACACAGAAGGGAAAAAATGCTGGATTTATATTGGTTATATCCAAGGCTCTATACTGGTGTCATGCTATTTTATTTGGCAACAAATTCTATTTGATAGTCTTGTCCTGGTTTAAGAGAACTTGCCAGGAGTGGAGGTGCACCTGGAAGGGTTTTGTCCTCCCGTGATTTTGTGCTTCTGTGGATCATGTACGAGCATCACGCCACACTGCTGTTCACCCTGTCTGCCCACTGCGGCCTTCGTAGCTGCGAATGCTGAGGCCTGCACTATCAATTCAACGCTGACCAATCAGTGCTGAAGACAGGTTGAAGTCAGAGAATGTGTGTCCTCTAATTGGATTAGCCAGCCGCGTGGACATGCCAGTGTTGAGCTTCTGTGAGCCAGCCATCTCGTTCTGTTTGAGTATGTGGCGAAAGAAGCAGTTCTGCAGTGCCGTTTAGGGAAATGACAGGAGCTGCTCGTGATGATCGAGCATTGACTGGTTGGCACCCTTACCTGGATTAACGCAGCTAACACAGCATTCTCACTGGGCCGGTCCTGTTAGTCCCCACTGCAGATAGGGAAACCAAGACACAGAGAAGTGGTGGGGTTGGATTTAAACCCAGGCAGTCTGCCCCAGAACCTGTCCTCCTCTGAACTATTACATTATATTCTTTTCCTGTTAAAATTCATACCAACTAGTCTATGCTATTTTACTCTATGCTCAGTTCATTCTATTGAATGACGTGATAACTCTGTGAGTTAGCTGTTGCATGTATGTACTGCCTTTTCCTCTTATCCCACTAGCTCCTCTGAAGCCATAGTATAGCCATGGTGTTGCACATAGATTATTAATTAGTGCAGGCCTCAGATTAAAGATCTACAGATTGGTGCTGTCCGTGGCTAGGCGATGCTGGTGGGGAAGAGATTTTTGGCTCTGTGCCCTGACAGACTGTGCACAGAGCTGTGTGAGCTGTTCAGCAAGCATGACATTCTGCATTTGACAAGTCTCCTGGGCTGTGAAATGGAATTACGGATGGGAGAATGATTTTCTTAAAAGTTTGAAAAAGCATGTGACGACACTAATTTTTGAGCTTTGGTATTTGAAACTTGTTTCTGGAAACATTGGATCCTAAATCCAACCACATGAGCCTTTTTGCTCTCTTCTTCTTTTAACACCTCTTACTTAACACCTATGGCAGATCGCAGTCACCGAAGTACGATGACCTCATCAGAGACCCATAGAGGTTAAAATAATTTTCTTTAATTAAAATTCATTCCAAGATCATGGCTCTGGGCTGACATACTATTCAAATAATTTATTTGGATTTCAAATAAAAGCGATTGCTTCTGTGTTTTGCAGGGATATATCCGCCAGTGCCGCAAGCACACAGCAATGTTCACTGTTGCGCAGCTAGCCACTATTTTTGGAAACATTGAAGATATTTACAAATTCCAAAGGAGGTTTCTGAAAGACCTTGAGAAACAGTACAACAAAGAGGAACCTCACTTAAGTGAAATAGGATCGTGCTTTCTTCAACATGTGCGTCACCTACTTCGTTATTCATAACTTCTGGTTACATGATTTGGAAATGCATGTCCACTAAATACAGGAGTCTCTATTGTTTTATTGTTGGCTAGATGAACCTTCCATAAAGGAGATGTCTCTATCTGACATGGTTATCACATAAACTAAATCTATTAGTTAATCTTGTCCGAATGTCCCAAATTCATTTTATCAAATTCCTTTTATGTAATCTGGAATTAGGGGGTTACATTTGGAGTAATTCCTTTTTAAAAATTTCTAAGGATTATGCTGTAAGAACTATGGAGTCCTTCCTAATAATATCCAGTAAGTGTGAATTACGTTTCAGGCACTGTTTTCAGGGTTTTCTTTTATTGGCTTGTTTATTGCTGTGAGGTAGATATGATTATCTCTCCCACTTCCTAGATGAGAAACTAAGGCCCAGTGAGTAAGGAACCCAGGGCCACACAGCAGTAAGAGGCAGCTGAGAAGGCAGACCCAGGCATGTGGCTCCAGCACCCGGGCTTGTATATTGTAACTGTCTTGGAACCTTCCTGTGATAATAACAGCCATTTATCCCTTTTTAACTTAGACCGACTGTTACTTACTGCTAAAGGATTTCAGAGGAAGATTTTAGTTCCAGCCCAAATAGCAAGGGGACAGTAAGAGTAGTAATAATAACAGTGGCAGCCTCACCACCTCCTTCACTTCCTGGGTGCTGGGCTCAGTAGCTGTCTAGAGTCCTCTGGGGCAGAAAGATTTTAAGTGGCTGGGCATAATGTTTTTGTGGTAAGTCAGTTGGAGGTTGGGCCCCATGGGTGACCTGGGCATATTTGGGACATTGTCACAGGCCTCCTTGTGTGGCCCCATGCAGAAGGTTCCTGCAGGAGTCAGCTCAGGCCAGGCTGGAGGCCACATGATGGCCCTAGGAAGGTGAGTCTCACAGTGAGGATGGGGGAGTATTGCTGCCACCAAGGAGGGGGCCGTGGCAGGCCCAGCCATGGTGACAGCAGGGAAATGGGAAGAGAGGTGTGTTTTTTGAGGAAAACCTGACAGGACTAGTTGCAAACCACAAATAAGCAGCCATTAAAGCTACCTGCATGGTTTTAGTTGAGTTGAAAGAATTTGTGGGAGGGGGACGTTAGAGGCCCCGCTCCCCCTGCTCCCCACCTTCCAGGGTGAGTGCAAGGCAGGCTGGAAGGAGACCAGGCTGCAGAGTCCTAGGGCAGCCTCGCCCTCAACCCCCTCAGGAGCCTGCTGAAGCGCCCCTTCCTGCTGGCCCAGTACACTTTTGGAAACCCCGGCAGGGTAGCTTGGCCACCAGCAGATGTCATGCCCCGTCCTTGCAGAAGTCCATCTCCCTCCTTTCTAGGAGTATCCCTTAGAGAGGGTTGGGATGCTGCTGTCGTTGTCATGGCCCAGAGCCACCCCAGAAGCTGACGAAGCTGTCCTTTTTCTTCCCAGCAAGAGGGCTTTGCCATCTATTCCGAGTACTGTAATAACCACCCGGGTGCCTGCCTGGAGCTCGCCAACCTCATGAAGCAGGGCAAGTACAGACACTTCTTCGAAGCCTGCCGCCTGCTGCAGCAGATGATCGACATCGCCATCGACGGGTTCCTGCTCACACCGGTGCAGAAGATCTGCAAATACCCGCTGCAGCTGGCCGAGCTGCTCAAGTATACCACGCAGGAACACAGGTGAGGGGCATGGGCAAGGGGCGCAGGTGAGGGGCTGCTGCTGCTTCCTGTAGGCAGCTCTTAACCCAAGCAGTGATAGGTGGGCGTCAGTGTCAATCTTAACAAACTGGGAGCTCCATGGGAGCAGTTTTCAGATTGTTGAGCCTGTGTGCAATTAACTCCTGAAACAGTGATTGGAGAGGCTCCAGAACGTCCACTCCGAGAGCTGTGAAGACATGAGCATCCTTCTTGAGCTGTGCCGCGAGCACACGGGGACTTCTGTTGTGTTGTTACTCCTTATATTGCTTACCTGTATTTTATAAACGTGGCTTTGAGTCCTCAGTGGTTAGTAAAGACCATTTCTGAGGGAAACAAACCAGTGTGAATGGAAAGCCACGACTTTCGTTCTCTCCTGTACCCATGACACACAGCAGCTCAGCTCAGAGAAGGATTCTTTATGGCAGAAACATTATGTTATTTTGACTTACCTAAAGTTAGTTGTTGCTAAGCAATCTCTACTTAGCAACATAGAAGGGTGAAGGCACTTGAACTATAAAGAGTGTGGACTGTCAGGGGTGGGAGTCTGTACAGGGCTGCTGAGAAGACCAGGGCTCTGGGTGCCCGCTGGGCCCTGAGCTGCTCCTTCCCCACCGGGGTGCCGACTCCCTGCTCTTCGCCCCGTTCCCTCCTCTTGGGAGCACAGGTCTTCCTTCTATGCGTACCTGAATGTTGCATCTCCCTTCGAGCTTCCTCGGCACCTAACCAAGCTCTTCTTACCACAACACTTGTGTTGTTTGAATCTCAGCTTCTCCTGAACAACAAGCAACACAATACACATGCTCTCCGTCTTTGCTATCCGCCGCGGTTATTTCTGGGTTCTTCTCAGGCCCTTGTTCTCTAGCCATACGATCTCTTCTGGGGGAGCCAAAGTTATCCTTTGTTTCCTTAATAGCCAGCTGTCATTTCACGTGTGCATAGACACTTTTGTGTGGTTATACATTAAGCATGTCACCGATTCAGCACTGGAATGTGCATGCCCATTTTCCATGCCATGGGAAAGTGTCCCCACAGTGCAGCCCACCTGTCTGGTGCCTCAGGCTAGCAGTGCTTGGCTAATTGCTGAGTTCTCACCTGGCCAGCAGGGACAGACAGTCATAGAGCAGCTCCTATATGCCAGGCTCCAAGTTAGGCCACACAGGGGTGCAAGGGTCTAGGCTAAAGCTGACCGTTTTAGATGAGAATCGAACCAAGGTCCATGCCCCTGACAAAGTCTTTACCTGTACCTGCAGCGGGTCATCTCAGGGTCCTAATGGGAAGAGGAAGAGGGAAGGGATTGTACCAGGAGGAAATTTGTGTGGCAAACCACAACAGTTAACAGTTTCAGCAGCTAAATTTCTCCCTGCAGGGAGTGGAGAATGAGTCATTATTCTTTTGTCCTCTCTGCTTCTGAACTCCTGTGAAGAGACAGACTTGTAAAGGGAAGCTTCTGGCCGGCGCAGTGGCTCACACCTCTAATCCCAGCACTTTGGGAGGCCGAGACGGGTGGATTACCTGAGGTCAGGAGTTTGAGACCAGCCTGGCCAACATGGTAAAACCCTGTCTCTACTAAAACACAAAAATTAGCCAGATGTGGTGGTGGGTGCCTGTAATCCTAGCTACTTGGGAGGCTGAGGCACGAGAATCACTTGAACCCCAGAGGCGGAGATTGCAGTAAGCCGAGATCGAGACACTGCATTCTAGCCTGCATTCTAGCCAGAGTGGGACTTTGTCTCAAAAAAAAAAAAAGAATGGAGCCTTCTTATAATTAGATTGGTAGATTGGAAAGTAAAGAATAAGAATGAGAGCAGGTCACAGAACAATAGACTCTAGATATGGGTGTTAACTTAAAAAGTTAGGACTAAAGGAATTAGAGAGAGCAGTTCATTGAGATAGAGAAAAGGAGAGAGAGCTAAATATGTTTTTCTTATTCTGATGGAGAAATCAGAAAAGTTCAGTGGAGTCTACGGCCATACCACCCTGAACGCGCCCGATCTCGTCTGATCTCGGAAGCTAAGCAGGGTCGGGCCTGGTTAGTACTTGAATGGGAGAAAAGTTCAGTGGAAAAAAAACAGGGAAGTCAAGAAAGCCACAAAATTGAAGAAAAAAATATATTTTAGTTCTAAATATCTTTTACAAGTTTTTGAAGACATTTTTAAGAACATGTCTTGATGGCAAGATGAGGAGCCCAGAGCCAGAGACGATAAGTAAGAGAATTAGAAGCACAGACTTCCTGAAAGATGTGGGCAGGCAGCGTCGTACTGTCTGAGACGGGAAAGCTGGGTCCAGAAGCCCACGCCTCACTCCTCAGTTGTTACTTTTTCTCCTTCAAGGGCATTTTTCACCAAGAGCATTTGCAGTTTTGGCATTTTCAAAATAAAAATTAGTCGACATGACAAAAAGTCCATTTCCTTGTCTTAAGTAAAACAAAGCAAAAAGTCTTTTAAAAAAATCATTACAGCTCAGTTTTGTCCAGAAAAACTTAATTTGCACCCTTTCTTCATTGCTGGAGGCCTCTTTGGGGGCTCTGTGTCCATGATTTTGGCAGCCCCTGGTGTCATTCTTGCTCCTGCTCTCTGCCCCACTTCTGAGTGTGAATGGGCCTCTCTGAAGACAGCAGGTCTGCTTAGTGTGGGCAGCATCTGGGGACTTCCCGGGAGCTGAGTTGAATTGTGTTTGGTAAATAGACAATAGAATCTGCTCTCAAGGCTTTACCATGGTTGTGCAGAAGGATTCTCATTCATTCTGGCTGCGGTGCAGTGGCCCTGTCTGTCCTCTAAGTTGCCAGGGGAAAGTGGAAAATGCAGCTCATTAGCTGGATGGTTGGTCTCCCCAGCCCCCCATTATTAACGCTGAGCAAAACCTGAATGTGAAGCTTGCAGATACTGGACATGCTCTGTGCCAGCCTAGACTGGAACTGTAGTTTCTGCTCTTCCTGTGCCTACAATTTTAGTGGGCTTGGGAGCAGGGGCCCGCTGGGGAGAGCGTTTTAGCTTGGCGTGACTGTGGCGGATGGAAAGCACCAGAAAGGAAGATGTGTTGGTGAGGCAAATGCCATGCTAGCATTCCGTAATGCACCACTTCAGACTCCTGTCCTCTCCTCTCCTTTCCCAAGCAGCATAAAAGATGAGACTCAGAGCAAATCGTCACCCTTGGAAATGGTTAGTGATTTTTAAAGTGCTTTATGTAACAAGAGTAGTTGTATGAGAATCAAAGCCATAAGAGAGATGTCCTTTCTGTATTAATGAAAGTTGCCCATTGTCACCATGACTACAACTTATTTACTGTGGCATTTACCGTCATTCATTGCGATTTCTGGGAAATGAGTGAAAACATTTTTATTCCAAAGAATTCTGAAATGCATTGGGTCAGCTCCCTTAACCTATGCAGACTGTAGTCTATTCATGGGGGAACAAGAAAAAGGGAAGCAGTGGCTGTGATGTAAATGCCAGCTTGTCTGTTCCAGTCGTATAGGAAGAAGCGCCCCCATGAGTTATCTTGCCAGTCCACATTTGTAAGATGCATGCCATGTGATTAATATGAACCTCGCATCTTGCAGTGATTATAGCAACATCAAGGCAGCATATGAGGCCATGAAGAATGTGGCTTGTCTGATCAATGAGCGCAAGCGCAAGCTGGAGAGCATCGACAAGATAGCTCGCTGGCAGGTGTCCATCGTGGGCTGGGAGGTAAGTGGGAAATACCCCGCATCACCCCATGCTACTGGGGTGACTCATGAAAGGTGACTCCTGCACCTTTGATCTGGTACAGACACACTATGAAATCTATGATCAGTACCTTGTATTCTTGGCTTTAATGGTATGTATACCATTCATGGTAAATGTATTTTGAGCTGTATTGTTGAATTTAACAATCAACCACTTTATAACCGATGCCTATAGGAAGTAAAATCTGAAGAATGTCTGCAGTTAATTTTTTGCTAAGCCTCTGTCTCTCCTGATAGAGGGAGCTCCATGGGAATAGTAGAGGACAATTCAGATGCAGCCACATAATATAGTGGAAGTATGGGGGACTCTGGAGTCCCTGCTCACATGTGAATCCTATACAATCTGGGCCAGATAAATTTTTTTTATCTTATCAGTCGTGGAAGAAAATATCAGCTACCTCATAGGCTTTGAGGAGCATTTTATGAGACAGTATAGGCCAGTCACAGCAGCTCACACCTGTAATCCCAACACTTTGGGAGGCCAAAGTGTGAGAATAACATGAGCCCAGGAGTTTGAGACTAGCCTAGGCAACATGCCAAGACCCTATCTTTACAAAAAAGATAAAAAATTCAGCTGGGCATGGTGGCATACACCTGAAGTCCTGACTACTCAGGAGGCTGAGTTGGAAGGATCACTTGAACCTAGGAGGTTGAGGCTGCAGTGAGCCATGATCACACCACTCCACTCTAGCCTGGGTGACAGCAAGACTCCGTCTCAAAGAGAAGACAGTACAAATACAATGCCTATAATAATGGTCCAGCGAATCTCTCTCTCTCTCTCTCTCTCTATTTATTTATAAAAACAACAGTGATAATAGCTAGCACCTGTATGTGTTTACCACATTTTTGGCTGGCACTGGTCTGAGCCATTTGTACATATATGAACTCATTTAACCTCTCCACAATCCTATGAAGTAAGCACCGATATTATACCCATTTAACAGATGGGAAAACTGAAGCACAGAAAGGTTAAATAACTTGCCCAAGACCACACAGCTCAAGAGTAGCAGAGGTGGATTCAAACCCAGGCAGGCACCCTGGCTTCCAAGTCCATGCTGGTGACCACTGAGCTCTACTGCCATTATCAAGAATGACAAGCAGATGCCATTCAGGCTGTTTTTTTTAGACCAAGCCACATTGATTTTTACATCTATTATTTAATTGGTCAGAACTCACTGTCCACAGCATTGAGAAAGTCTGGAGCAAGAAGTTAGGTTGTTAACTGAAGTAGGTTATAGGTGGTGAAAATTAGAGAGAAACACGTACATTTCAAGGGCCTTACAGGCTTCTGGCGTTTGGGCAGGATCTCAGAGAACATTGAGTCCAACTCTCTTATTTCATAAGTGAAGAATCTAGGGCACAGAATTGCTCTGAGCAAGTAAGTAGAACTGTTTTGGAGTCAGGCTCTTTTGGCTCCAAAAAATATTGTGTATGAGTGAGATTAAGGGAGAATCCAATCTTATATAACGAGGGCCGGTGTCATACCAAATACCATAAAGTAACACTGGATTAGATTTCATCTAAATATTGTAAGGGGTGGGTTCTCTCTGATTTTGGACACTGACGTTTAGGGGATAATTTGTCAGAAGTTAATTTCTTACTGACAAGTTACCATCGGGCCTTTTGTTTCTACGATCCTAAACAAGTTGCAATTCCAGGGAGCTGCCGTACATCAACACAAATGTCAGCTCCACAATCACGGTCCTGTGTGCCCTACATGAACACTCCGTTACGTATAAGCCTAGTGTACTCTCACTCTCGGAGGCCTGTTTGGGTCAGCTGCTGTTTCAGATGAGTGGGTTCCATTAATTCGGCATGCTTCTTACCAGAGGCTTCAGGCAAGGAAGATCCCTCAGCTAACACAGAGGCAACATCACATTTTCCTAGTGAGTAGGAAAAAAAGGAAAGGAAGAAATTTCAGGCACCAGGAGACCAATAAACCCAGGTTGATTAATAAATAACCTGTGAGGCCCTGCCCACTTATGATGGGGACAGGTGGTGGGCAGTCTCAGGTAACTAGAAAATCTGAGAAGCATTGTGTGTCCGGAGTCTCTTCGACCCAAGGAATTAGAATTTGGAGTTTGGTCTTTTTTTTGGTTTTGATTTGTTTTGTTTTTTAAGAGAAAGGTCTTGCTGTGCCCCTGAGGCTGGAGTGTACTGGCATGATCACCACTCAATGCAGCCTCACACTCCTGGGCCCAGGACGTCCTCCCTCCCTCGGCCTCCTGTGTAGCTAAGACTACAGGCGTGTGCCACCATGCCCGAATAATTTTTAAAATTTTACGTAGAGTTGGGGTCTACGTAAAATTTTACGTAGAGATGGGGTCTTGCTATGTTTGCTGAGGCTGGTCTCAAAGTCCTGTCCTCAAACGATCCTCCCACCTTGGCTTTCTAAGTGGCTAGGACTACAGCTGTGCTAGAATTGGAAGATCTTAAGGTGTGTTTTCATCCTTCCAGGGACTGGATATCTTAGACCGAAGCTCAGAATTGATTCATTCTGGGGAACTGACCAAAATCACTAAGCAGGGCAAGAGCCAGCAGCGGACGTTCTTCCTGTTTGACCACCAGCTGGTGTCCTGCAAGAAGGACCTGCTGCGCAGGGACATGCTGTACTACAAGGGCCGGCTGGACATGGATGACATGGAGCTCGTGGACCTGGAGGACGGGCGCGACAAGGACTGCAACCTCAGCGTGAAAAATGCCTTCAAGCTTGTCAGCAGGACCACAGATGAGGTTCATTTGTTTTGTGCCAAAAAACAAGAAGACAAGGCGAGATGGCTGCAGGCCTGTGCAGATGAAAGGAGGCGGGTGCAGGAGGACCAGGAGTTGGGTGAGCAGCCCTTGGCCCTGCAGGCGCCTTTGCCTCTGCCTGCTGGAATAGCTTCCTTCTCCAGCCCCACGGGCCTGCTCTGCCCAGCCTTCTCCCTCAGAGCTGAATCCCATGATGGGGAAAAGACGGGATGTGCAAACCCTGACTACCTCTGAATGTGCTTACGAGACAGACCATGTCAGATGTAGTTACTACAGGCAACATTTATTCAGTATTTATCTTGTGCCAGACATTCTGTGGCCCGTTTATAGAGATTGTCTCATTGAATCCCTACGAAGTGGTTACTGTTGTTATACCCACTTTATAGGTGAGAAAATTAAGGCCAATGGAACTGGCCCACTCTGGCACTGTGGCCACATAACATTTAAATCGAGCACTTTGGATGCCACATGCAGGGTATGAAGAATAAATAATAAATAAAACCAGCTCATTGTGACCCCAGAGATGGAGCCCTGCTATGGTGACCATCACTCAGGCCATCAGAAGTATCACATGATTCTGGAGGCCTCGGCCTCCCCTTTGGCTGTGCCTGTGCAGTACCTTCATTGTGCCTCACTGCCACAGTGGATCCACACCCAGCAGCCCGCCTGCACACTCCCCATCTCTCCTATGAAACTCAGGATGCCATGCCATCCATTGCAGTTAAAGCAATGATCGTTCACCCCCAGTGTTACATTCATACTTCTTTGGTTTGTCTTCCTACCTTCTGTTGACCTGAAAGTCCCGTGTGGCCCCATGAAACCCAAGCCGCCTATGCCTGGCATTAATGATGGCAGCACCCACAGTCTCTGGACCCCGTTTCAGTGCCTCCCAAGCTGTTTAGGGTTTTGAGCACAATCTGTTGAATGGAAGTCAGGGTGTCACAGTGGAGGATATTCATCTCTGCAGCCCAAGTGAGCCCAGCCCTCAAAAGCCGTGGTCCAGGATGGATACACCCCTCCCCCCCTTGCCCACTGCCATGAGGATGGCAGAACTGAAAACCAGGACGTGCTTTTTCTGTCCTTCCCAGCCACTGGCTCTAAGCTTGGATATGGAATTGGGTCTTACCCATAGGAGGTTTTCAGAGATTCTGTAGTAGAGTTGGAGGGATTTACAAGTTGGTCAGGCTAAAGCAGAAGCTGGGATCCATCTAGTTGGAAACTCTCAATGGGTGGGCGCTGGTCTGGACTTGGGCCACTCCAAGATACAGAACTCCCCACATCATAGGCAGCCCCTTACACCAAGTGTCAGGGTGTCCTTTAGACTAAGAGGAAATCTGATTCCCAGCAACGGCCATAGATAAGTGGTGCAGACTCTAGGGCCCCATTGGAACAGGGCTAATCACTCTCTCATGCCCAGAATTCATTTGCAGATGACAGTTACTAAAATGCAGAGCCACAAAATCTTAGTTTTACTCATCATATGATGTTGTCTAGTGCAGGCCCTGAAGTCATCTGTAAGTCAGAGTGTTTGGATTCCCGAAGATGGCACTATTTATGGGGGAGGGGGGCATCCTACACAGTTGCAGTGGTGCCTCTCAATAGAAAGGAAAGGAGGGGCCTGACATGAAGCCTTTTGCCATGTGATGCTCCACGTGCTGGATGTCAGGACAGTCCAAGACAGATGGTGGGCATGTGAAGGAGTCACAGCCAGGGGAGTGGAGTGGGCAGAGGCAGAAAGGGAGCCTCAGGAGCAGGTCAGGCAGTGTGAGTCACAGACACAGGGCCCGGGTCAGCTGTGCCAAGCTGGGGCAATTACGTGCCTCCAGGAGGAAGGCTTCCTGTGGGAGAAGGCAGGGCCCCAGCACCCAGCCCTGGCCACTCAGCTCTGTCCTTCCTTCCTTCTTCCCCATGTCCTGTCAGGATAAGGGTTGCCTCTTCTTATTCATTTGCAGGGACTCTTGTTTCACCCAGTTCACGAGCTGCACACAGACACGGTCACATGCTCTGGAACTTTACAGTGAGGGAAGGCTCAGAACACACTGACACCGCCGGGGTATAGAATCTGGTTCCCACTACTCACATGGTACCTTTGTTCAGGGTGGAACTTCTAATGTGCAAAGCTCTCATAGTGCGTGGGCGAACAGGTCCCGGGACCCTTTCCTCTCCTTTCCTCCCGGGGCCTCATCATTTAGGGTTATAGTTGGGATGACCCTGTGTGAACATTGGCCCAGGAGTATCAGACTTCACACACACATTCTGCATCGTCATGAGCACCCCCCAATTTCACTATCCAAACTGTCTGAACAATTTGCAGGACAATCACATGGCCACCTTGGTGATAATCCTTAGGACCTCCCCTTTTCCGATCTTCAAGCTGTCTCAGGTTATGCGGGTAACCTCAGTGCTAATATGGAATGTGATGCAGGTTTTGCTCTGAAACATATCCACGTGTTCTGAATATATGTCACATTTATTTCTAAATGCAGGAATGGAAATTTCAGAAAACCAGAAGAAACTTGCCATGTTAAATGCTCAAAAGGCAGGACATGGAAAGTCAAAAGGTAAGTTATGGGAAGGCTTTGTCTCCTTAATGCCTCTCAGTATTCTCATGAAAATGGGGAATATACTCCAAGTTGTCAGCCTGTGACCAGCTTGGAGCAAGGGGGACAGTAGGAGTTAGAACTCAAAAGGGCAGGTCCAGAACAGAGGCAGGTGAAGGTGGCCTGCGTTTGGTCTTGAATGTGCATCAGTGTTTGCTCCCATTGGAATGTGGGCATAGGAAACCTTCAGAAGTGCTGCCAGAGGATGGTGGGCCTCCTTGCCTGCCTGGGGGCCCTTGGCTCCCCTTCCTGGAGGGCTAATGCTGTGAGCCACCAGGTCACACACATCACCAGTCTGAGGCAAACCAACGACTCTTGCATCTTTTGGGCACGAGAGAACAAAATCTCAAACCCCAAACTGTTTGTCAGCTGTAGGCTGGAGACAGTCTCGTTTAAGTTAGAAAAAGACGTCAAGGTTCGGTACATCGGGCAAGGAGTTAGACAAAAAAAGACACGTGAGCTGATTTAGGGCAGTGATTCCCTAACCTCCATGCACGTTAGAATTCCCAGGCAGCTATTCAAAATGCTGATGCCAAGGCCACATACCCACGGGTTCTGATGCACTAAGTTTTGTCCACACTACAGGTAATGCAGATGATCTGGCCCAACAGGAATTCAATAATAAGGATATTTTTCCCAAAAAATATGCGCTGCATTCTTAGAAATTTTATTCCAGGCATCTTTCTACTTTAAAAGGGATTTACTGGCCAGGCGTTCCATCTCTACTAAAAATACAAAACAAAACAAAAAATTACCTGGGTGTTCTGGCGTGTGCCTGTAGTTCCAGCTACTTGGGAAGCTGAGGCAGGAGAATCACTTGAAGGAGGCAGGGGTTGCAGTGAGCCGAGGTCGCACCACTGTACTCCAGCCTGGCAGCAGAGCAAGACTCTGTCTTACAAAAAAAATACAGGATGGAGGTTTGCCCTACGAAATGTATCTCTTTTGGTATTTTCCTGACTGCAAGTGCAAAAACAAAGACAGTGAATCCCAGAACTGCAATAGGCCACCGACTACTAAAGAGCCAGGAAGAACTCATTCCACACTTAGCACTCCTCTGTTTCCGCCCTGCAAATGCAGAATTTCTTTTACCCACTAAGTTTCAAATAACTTTAAGGCAGAAAATCCCATGTTATTAATTTTTTTAAATTTTCACTTCTAATGTCAGATGACTAGTAAATTAATTTTTAAGAATATTTTGTTTTCTCTCCATATCTTCTGAGAGTCACTCACCCAGCAGCCGAGCTCCTCAAGAATGGAAGGACTGCTGACATTGACAGGTGGCCACCGGGACGCTGTGCCTGGCTTATCTGGTTTCTTCCTTTCTGCCACCCTGGGAGATAGGGCGAGTCCTCTGGCAGGTCAGGGGCAGGGGCAGATTCTGAACCAAGGCCTGCCTGCTTCCAGAGCCAACCTTCTTCGTGCCATGCTGACGTTTACACAGTTACCTTTTATTCTAATTGCTAATTTTAATAAACCTTCTAAATTACCTCGCACAGATTGAAAATACCTACTCCAGTGAAGTTTTGATTAGAGTGATCAGGTATTGGGGGCACAGTTCTAAGCACTTGTATTAATTTTTTAATTCTCATAGCAACCCTTTAGGTGCTGCAATCCTTATTTTAGGGATTGGGGAACCAAGGCACAGAGAAATCAAATAATGTGCCTAGTAATCCCAGCTGATAAATGGCACAGAAGGATTTGGGCTGGGGCAGCGTGAGCTCCAGACTTCCAGTTAGAGCATATTATTGCTATTCACCTTGACTGCCAGTCTGGCTCAGATTCTGCCACTTCCTGCTGTGTGTCCTGGCAGTTTCTTTCCTTGTCAAGTTGTGGTCATAATACCCTCGTTGGAGGTTTTTTAGGAGATTTCAGTGACAGAGACTGTGTCAAGCTCCACACAGAGTACCTGAATGTAACAAGTGTAGCTACTGGACCTTTTTTGGTTAATGTGAATTAAGAATGAGCTCTCTACAAAAAAGTATAAAATTAGCTTGAGGTGGTGACATACACTTGTAGGTCTAGCTACCTGGGAGGCTGAGGTGGGAGGATCGCTTGAGCCTTTGAGGTAGAGGTTGCAGTGATCCAGGATCACCCCACTGCACTCCAGCCTGGGCAACAGAGTGAGACCCTGTATCCAAAAAAGAAAGAAAAAGAATTAGCTAAGAACTTGGATTTGAAGTCTGAGCATTTTTATCTTTTCCCTTTTGGGTTAACAAGTGACCCTCAGTCCCTGTTCCATCTCTCTCCCCTCCCGAGTTAGGCTACGGCGGGTGCCCCATGGCCCCACCGCACCAGGGCCTGCACCCCATCCACCAGCGCCACATCACTGTGCCCACCAGCGTCCCCCAGCAGCAGGTCTTTGGCCTGGCAGAACCCAAGAGGAAGCCCTCGTTCTTCTGGCACACCTTCAATAGGCTCACTCCGTTTCGGAAATGAAAACGGGAGGCCGCACTTCCACGGAGGTGGCTGTCAAGAGGACAGCTGTCTTTGTTTCTTGTATCCTTCAATCCAGGGAAAGTTTATTGGACCCAGTGATAAAAACTTCCTTTTTGGGATCAAGGAAGGAGAGAAAGTCTTGGACTCACCTTCAGTCTTTGGAGACCCAGCTGCCTTTGTGGAAGGGAGGAGAAGGTCATGACACACAGCTTTATCCTGCACAGAAAGCCCCATGACCCGCTGTGCATGGCCGAGACGTGGGACTCAGTACTGTGCTCTAGAGTGAATGGTGAGACAGCAGCTGTAGCCACCCCTGCTGCTGATGAGCACGTGCCTGCTGCAGGACCAAACACAGCGTCCAGGGCTTTGTAGTTCCTAAGGAGTGATGAGGTTAGAGGATCACTTCTGCATTTGATTTTCAAGGATGTCGTGCAGGCAGGGTTGACGCAGTGCTGCGCATGTCTGGTCACACTTAGAAAGTGAGTTCTGTCTCCCTTCTGTAACACCGGGGACCTACAGCTGCTATGGAGTCGACTGTGGTGTCCCGGCATCGTCGGTGTCCACACAGGTGCTGAATGGTAGCACAAATGTCATCTTGCAAGTTTCCTCTTCCTGCAGGCAAAGGGGAGTGAAACATGGTGCTTCTGTCACCTTGCATCGCGGTCCTCAGTGCAGAGTGACTTAAGCATCCTTAAGAATCCACTGCTTTTCAGGCAAGGAGGGAGAAATCCTACTGCGCACTGGCTTTGTCTCAAAATCGGGTTCCCTCCTGCCTGCACGCCTTGAGTGACTCCAAGTGGAAATCACGTCTAGCCCACACACTGTAACCTTAGAAACTGCCGTTCAAGGCTGGGCATGGTGGCTCACACCTGTAATCCCAGCACTTTGGGAGGCCGAGGTAGGTGGCTCACCTGAGATCAGGAGTTCAAGACCAGCCTGGCTAACATGACAAAACCCAGTCTCTACTAAAAGTACAAAAGTTAGCTGGATATGATGGTACATCCCTGTAATCCCAGCTATTCAGGAAGCTGAGGCAGAAGAGTCTCTTGAACCTGGGAGGTGGAGGTTGCAATGAGCCGACATCTCACTACTGCACTTCAGCCTGGGTGATAAGGCGAGACTCTGTCTCCAGGGGGATAAAAAAAAAAAAAGACTGCCATTCGGACAACTGTTTGCAACATAAAAGCTCATTTACTCTAATATACGTGATACAGTGAACGTGAAAATACGCTGGTGGGAAGGCATTCTCAATGAGCCGCACTGCTGCTGACGTCATTCTTACCATTGAAATCGCAAAGACAGGCAAAGCAGTCCTGCTTCTTGGGAATCGGAAGGTGCCTTTATCACATAAACCCAAACAGTGGGGCATAACTGTGCCACCTGAGCATGTCAGCAGGCTTCTGAGGACTTGTTCTTTATAAAAGAGACCTGCACAAAATATCTAGGCTCAGAGATAGCAGTCTTTATTAAGAAAGGCCATGTGGGCTGACACCTGCAGATGATCCTCTCCTTTTCTTTGTGTTGCATATTTTCATGACATAACTTTTAACCATGTCTAGAGAAGGCAGGCTCTGCAAGAAAGATGCCCTTTCAATCTGCTCAGTGCCCTGGACAGGAGATACTATGTTACACTGTTAGTGGATTTCTATTTGAGAAGCTCATTTTTTTTTTTTTTTTTTGAGACAGAGTCTTACTCTGTCGCCAGGCTGGAGTGCAGTAGCGCAGTCTCGGCTCACTGCAACCTCCACCTGGGTTCAAGTGATTCTTCCGCCCTAGCCTCCCGAGTAGCTGGGACCACAGGGGCGTGCTACCACGCCTGGCTAATTTTCATATTTTTAGTAGAGACGGGGTTTCACCATGGCCAGGATGGTCTCGATCTCTTGACCTCATGATCCGCCGCCTCGGCCTCCCAAAGTGCTGAGATTACAGGCATGAGCCACCGCGCCCGGCCCGAGAAGCTCATTTTTGTATGCGACTCTTGGAAAGTTCTTTTTTCTAACAGGCCCATGTTTGAGAATAAACAAATCTGCAATGTCAAAGACAAAGGTGTATTCAGACTCCAGGTGTGTGCCTCCTCCGTTCTCCCCTGCAGCCCCCCACATCCAGAGCCAGTCCTGAGGGGTGACATCATGCATCAAGGAAAAATGACATTGGCCCTCTCGGGTGGACCCTTGGAACATTCTGTGACAGCTGATGGCTGTGCTGTGCCACCTTGGCACACATGCTTAGGGCAGCATTGCCGAGGGTTACTGTGCCCCATGGCTGACCACCCCTGGGTTGCTTCTGTGGACTGTCATGCCACCTGGAGTCTCCTGAGACCGAAGCTGCTGCAGGAAGGAGCTTCTGAAGAGGTGCTGTGGCGTGTCAGGGTGTGTGTGTTTCCTTCTTGAATACACACCATGCCAACTGTAGTTGTGTTTATAGAACTGCCCTTTTTACTAACAAAATGCAATGGTATATTTTGGAGGCTATACTTAATATGCTTTTCCTGCACACCCCAGCAATAACTGTAGAGGTCTCTGTGCTAGTGTGGTTTGTACGTACAGCATTTTGAACAAATTGTTTTAAATATAAGAGAATTAGTTTAAGGAAGAAAAGAGTCATTTGCTTATGTTACATTTTCCGTGAGGATTCAGTTTAAGCAAAGAGTCACTCTTAGGGCTTCCATTTCCTAATGTTATTCATGGGTAATGAAGAAATGCTTTACATTTTCTGGCCAGTCCTAATTTATTTTCCAGCTGAGCCCTAACCTCCGGTTCCCACCTACCTCCACAGACTTCCTAACACAGAACCATGAATACCAGGACGTGTTTTTGTTAAGTCAGGTTCAATTCAAGTCCTGAGGTTGCCCCAGTCAGTTTTATACAGTGTGAGGGTCTCTCGATTAAATCTCTCTCCTAGGTAGATCCTACTTGGATGTACAGGTGATTTTGAAAACTGTTAACATTTTTAAAAGGTTAGAACATCCTTTGACTTCTTGAAAATCCGTATGTCTGGCTTGGTTATCATTACCACATGCCTGAGTTCTTCAAAGAATGGAAGGCTCAAGTATTCTCATTTTCTGTTTGCCAAAATTCCTTCCTGATTCGAGTCACATGTTCCACTTGGAAAACAAAGGGAACCGAGCGCCTCCTCCATGGACAGTGTATGAATTTCTTTGGGAATCTTGCTCACTCCAGCCTCTCCCTTTCTCTCTTTTTAACCTGACATTACATAGTATCATAGATGGTCCAAAAACAGAAAAGATGACAATATTTTGATGAATTTCACCTATTCATCACGTCTCAGAATTTGTCAACTTTGTTGGAAGACAGTTGAAATAGCCTGGGGTCAAAAGCAATCTTCTCCATTTTGATCATACCAAAAACCTATCACAACCTTGCAGTAGATTACAAGCAATTATAAAATCATAAAATTGAATGTTTGCAGAATCCTGGAGCAATAGCTTTCCTTGTCTTTGGCCTGCAGACTAGAAAGAGGGTGGCACTAGTCTGCCGGAGCTTCCCTGGGATACTGGCCACGTGGTTTATTTTCCTTAGATCTGATGTTTGTGTCCCGTGGGTAGATCTGATTTTGTAAACATTTCACCACCATCGAACACTATTTCTGAATAGTGTGCTGAAAATCGATCCCATGCTTGGTCAGGAAATCCCCACATCTTACATGACTATTATCTAGACACAAAAGGGCATTTAATTCAAAATTTCGTTCACAATGTAAATATTTTGTAAAAGCCAGCTGACCCAGCTTTTTACCAGGTGGAAGTCTTTGCAAACCAAATTGCTGATATTCCTTCATACAGATCAACTTGGTGTCCCAGCCAGACTAGAACAGCGTAATTACCTGGAGTGAGGGGGAGTGTTTCTGTTGCTTGTCAAGGAGAGAAGAAACCTACAAGTGTCCTTCAACGGACAGTGCCAAGAAGTGAGAAAAAATGTCCTTTCACTAACTCACAGGCCCGGGATGCGGGACCCAAGTCAACTAGGTGAACCTGCTAGCAGACCCAGCTTTCCCATAATGACCGAATCTGCAAACCATTCTCCCTATTGAAGTTTCCCTTGGCTAACTGTGTTGTTTTCAGGATGCGATGAAAGTGGATTTTAAAAGGCTTTGGAAAAATAAGTGGAACATGACTTATCTTGAAGGAAAAATAGCAAAAGCTTAAATATTTGATGTAGGTTTACTTCGCTACAACATACTTTACACTGTTGCCTCTAGTTATCTCACAGGCATTGACATTTTGTATTTAGAAAATACTTTATTTCTAATCTTTTTTTGTAAATATTAGTGTCCATCCATTGTGTATGACTTGCTTATTTACTTTGCAAGGCTTTGGGCAACCTTTTAGCTCATTAACTTTAAGATGATGTCATCTATATAGGTCAAAGGGTGGGACTTCTGAACTGAGGAATTCGCTGTTGACAGCTGAAGTATGGTGTACAAGATTGATGTAACTTGATATGTATTTTTGTTGAATGAAGTTTTTTGTAAAAAGAAATTATTTACAATGTTATTTGAATGATTTTTTAAATGCTGTGAATCTATATTTGTTGTTTTATATATTAAAATTAATTTGCCAAACTGGTTCTGGTGATGCATTTGAGTAGCAGCCTTTAGAAGGAGGAAGTGGAGAGCCGGGTGCGGGGGCTTCTGGGATTTGTAACTCCTCTGCTGCCCTGATGTCCCTAGACTTCTCGGCAGCAACAATCATCCCTGCAGGAGCTCCATGTAACCACTGGGTATGTGTGGGAGAAGGAAGGCTCTAGGGCAGCCTAGGAGGGCCCCTGGCTTGTCCTTGGAGTAAGAGGGATGTGGAAGGGAGCAGTGGGATGGGGCCGCTTTTGCCAGGGATGATGGAGAGGACAACAGAACAGACTGTGCCCTCTGACTGCCCCTGAAAGCTAGGCCCTGCTGCAGGAGCTGCGCTAGTGGCCCTGCTCACTAGGCCTTTGGGGTGGGTAGATGAGGATTTCCTTCTCTAATTAAGAGCTCAGAAAAGCTAAGTCAACAGCCCATTGTTTGCCGTGGCTGTAATCAGAAAAGGATTCCTATGAAGGCTGCCAAGTGGCTACTCCCCACTTTTTGTTTACTCTTAACATTCACCTGCTTCCCAAAGTGACCTGCTCGCCCTCTTGGGCTGCACTGGGGAGGAGCCAGCCCCGGAACCCATAGGGCAGCGTATAGTGGCACCTTGTGAGGGAGTGAAAGAGAAGGCGGTGGCATTTGGTTCCAGAAGAGTTGTGGGAAGTTGACCTAACACAAGCGCGCCCCTACTCCGCACTGGCGAGGCGGGGAAGCTGGAGTGAACCGAGCTGAGCCTTGGCCACGCAGCCCTGGAGGCTGGAGGCGCTGCGGTCAGGAAGCGCCCGCAGGATGGAGCCCTTTCCCCTGCGAGCTAGGGGCCAGGGTCCCGACTCCTGAGCCGGCTTCCCACGGACCCCAGGCCCCGGCAGGGTCCCGGAGGGGGACGAGCCCGCGGGGTGGATAGGTGCTGTCAAAGCGGGGCCGCAGGTCAGGTTCTGGAAGCCTCTCCGCGTGGCTGGGCCGGAGTGTGCAGACGTGGGCGAGCTTGGCATGGGGAGAGCGTGGCCGGCGGAGGCCGGAGGCTGGGCTTCCCTCGCTGACTCCGTCCGCAGCCTTCAGTTTGTCCTGTTGCCGCGTAATTACCCCAAAGTTAGGGAGAAGCACTGAAGCAAAGGCATGAACGTCACTTTGGAAAAGAAACCTGCCTGGGACAGTCCTTCCTGGCTCTAGCCGAGACTGACAGGCGGGCCTGTCCCGGAGCTCCCCAGGGGCAGAGGCGCGGGAGACTGGAAGGGACCAGGCGGCGGGACAGGTGTCCCCAGCCGGAGGTCGGGGACGCGCATTCCGTCGGGGTCGCCTGCGGTGCTGGGGGTCGGAGGCGAGGCGAGGCGAGGCGGGGCGGGTCCAGGGCAGCCCGGTCAGAGCTGTTAAGAGCCCCCAGCCGCGCCGAGACTCAGGAGCTCCGTGCATTTAGCCACCCAGAGGCGTGGCGGGCTGCCGGGTGCCGGGGAGAAGCCAGATCCCGCTTGTTTTACTAATTGGATCCCGCCGCCCGGGACCTCGGCATTGTCATGTCCGCTGCACTGACGGGGAAACTGAGGCACGTTGCGAGTAAGGGGAGAGGGAGTTGGCGCCGCCGAGGTGGGGCACACCCCGCTCCCGCATGGCCTCTGCTCCAGCTCGGTGCTCCGCGGCACCTCGGGAAACTGGGCTGGGCTCCTCTGTCCTCTGGAAGATATTCGTTAATTTTGGATAAATGTTACTAGGTAAGAGGAACGTGAACCCATGATTACCGGCATTGAACAAATGGCTGCACCGCCTTCTCCGCGGTAGGTGGAGTGTGTGATTGTGAGAGGGGAATGGGCACTGAACCCAAACCTACACAAATGCCTAAAATCATAAGGAATGACGACACTGAAAATCTAATCCTAATCGATGAGCGATAGGAATTCCAATCGTCCGAGATCCAAGTAAGACCCAGCCGCCGTATAGCCTTCAGTTTTGTCGTGTTGCCGCGTTAATTACCCCAAGGTCAGGGAGAAGCACTGAAGCAAAGCCTTGAAAGTCCCTTAGAAAAAGAAACCTGCCTGGGGCACTCCTTCCTTCAGACTCCTCTTGAAGGTATTCCTTCATTTCATTCAAAAAGAGCTAACTTTTCTAAACAAAGTGGTGCTGGTAGAAGATGCTACCTGCCTGACTCAAGCGTGGCTATAATTCTTGAAGCTCTTCCAAGACATCTTGGCCTTCCCCTGTTCCCTCCCCTTCCTGCTATTTTGCAGACATATCCACTAGGGAGTTGTATGGCAGGAAGGCTGATTTTATTTAGCTGGCCCTTGATTCCTGGTTTGCACAGTTCCTGGGTCCAGCCTGCAGTAGTCCTGAGGTTCAGGTAAGTGCATTAGGAAAGGATTTCTTTACAGTCAATTTAAGGCATCTAGGTCCTAAAACAGCGCTTATATTATCTGTGGGATAATCCTGCTTAGTTATTTGCAAAAGAGTCAGATGTCTATAGAGTTTTGGGTAGGAAAGGGTAAGCCACTTTCAAAATTCATTCTTGAGGAAGAGGCTTCAGAGGAGATAAAAGCAGATTTTGAAATTCTTCTGCTAGAGCTCTGCAATTGGCTAGAAGGAGAGATAAAAACCATAGAATAAGTCACGAGAATACTGAATCTTTTTCAGAGAGCTTTCTAGAGAAGCTTATAGATTATTTTGCACAAATTTTAATGTATACTTTTTTTCTTGATCGGGTTTATCATATTCAAATTGCATACATTTTCATATTTATGGCTATGCTAATTTACAGTATAGGGAAAAAAACCATCAATATATATTGAAGAAAAAATGTATAAAGTTACAATATAGAAAGTGCATGGAAGACAATGTATTTGATGAAAGCACCCTAGAGCTATTTGGACTCTTAGACTGTCAGAGCTGGGAGGGGAGCAGGAGGAAGCTGAGGCTCTGAGGTTTGGAAACCCCATAGAAATCACTCAGCTGATTTCTAGCAGGTTTGTATTAAATCTTAGTTTGGAGAAATTAAAAATCTTAAGAGTGATAACCTTGGCTGTGAATTAAGGACATGATGTTCTTGGAGAAAGAAAAGTAATCAGGAAGGGCACTGGGTGATCATTTCTCAAGAGATTTTTTAGCAAAGGACAAATATAGGTAAAGCATAGAACAAGCCAGAATAAATAAACTAAATAAGAACGCATTCTGGGGGAACTAACATTAACTTCAAAGTTATTTGCAGTCTGTGTCCCTTTGACCCGACCAAGCCAGTATGTCAGGCTCATGAAGGCACAGCAGAATGATGGCCTCTGTTCTCTCTACATTCATGTGATATGAATGTATAAAGATCTTGTCTTGACCTGTCCAAGGCAGTGACTGTTGTCGCTTTTTTACATATACGACTGGGAGGGATGTATGCCCAGTGAGGCCCCAACAGCTGTCACTCTGGCTGACTACAGATGTCTGCAGGCCTCCTCATTTCTGATGAGTGCCACACCTCGGGTTGCACACGCCTTGCGTTCATCAGGAAGTGGGCTCAGCTGTGTGTCCCAGAGACCCCACATAACAGTGGTGGGGGGCTTGCTTAGGCAAGGTAGAAGTCTATTTCTGTTTCATGTACTCATGTCAAAGATGTGCTGGCAGGACAGGTCTGGTCTGTGGAGTCATCTGAGGCCAGGGGTTTTCTATCCCCAAACTGTTGCCCTCCTTCAAGGAGTCGCACGTGGTTCACCACACCATGCACACCCCCACACGGGAAGCAGGAAAGGGCACCCCCTTACCCTTTAAGACTGGTCACTGCACACAATTACACGCCTCACTTTTGCTCATTCCCATAGCCTACAGTCTAGTTCCATGGTCATATGCAGGCTGCAAGGGAGGCTGGGGAGTGCAGTCTATCCTGCGCGGCTAGGAGCCCAGCTAAAACTTCTCTTACTATGGACGAAGGCAAGAGGGCTGTGGGAGATAAGTAGGAACTCCATGAAAGCACGGACAAGGATCAGAGTTGAGATCCAGTCACCTTCCCAAGCAGTGGTCCATGCACAATTGGAACCAGGAGAGTATTTCTTGCATGCCTGCATTGATTCATTCAACAAATATTTGACTGAAAATAAGGTACTGAATAAGGCACTGAAAATCAGGAAGTGGAAAAAAGTCACTATCTTCATAAAGCTCTAACCCAGGTTGATACCTACTAAGTGATCACTAGTCTAGGTGTGGTGCACAGAATAAGTGGGGACTAGGGAGGACAGTAATTCAGGTAAGAGAAGAGAGAGGGAGGAGGTGATTGCAGAGAAAGGTGGGAGGCAGAAGAGGATCCTAGCTCTAGTGCCTTCCGGAAAAAGACCAGACCCAGAAATTAAAAGTTGAGAGTGTAACTGTGGTTGAACTAATGAAACTTAGAGTCCGACCCATATCTTGTGAGAGGCACGAAGGTACTTTTTTATTTTTAAAATAACATTAATAAAATTTCTTCTATATTCCTTGCGCAAATCATCAATGTTCTACATTGAAGAGGCTAAACTGGAGGTATAAACTTTCCAAATTTTCTTATTAAAAATAGTGCCAAGCGGCTGGGCGTAGTGGCTCATGCCTGTAATCCCAGCACTTTGGGAGGCCGAGGCGGGTGGATCGCGAGGTCAAGAGATCGAGACCATCCTGGTCAACATGGTGAAACCCCGTCTCTATTAAAAATACAAAAAATTAGCTGGGCATGGTGGTGTGTGCCTGTAATCCCAGCTACTCAGGAGGCTGAGGCAGGAGAATTGCCTGAACTCAGGAGGCGGAGGTTGCTGTGAGCCGAGATCACACCATTGCACTCCAGCCTGGGTAACAAGAGTGAAACTCTGTCTCAAAAAAAAAAAAAAAAATAGTGCCAAGCTGGATGGTGGCCATATCTCTAATCCCAGCTATTTGGGAGGCTGAGGCAGGATGACCACTTTAGCCTAGAAGTTTGAGCGAAGCCTGTGCAACGTCACAGAACTGTGTCTCTATAAACAAACAAGTAAGAAATAGTGACGAAACTTTCTTTGCGGCACATTTGGGAGAACACACATTAGGTTAATCAAAATCATTTGTTGGAAGGTTGTCCACTTGCTATATAAACAAGCTGGATAGAATCTACCTACATCAAGTATGCAAAGCTAGTGAAAGAATTACAGAAGAATAGCTGTTTGCTTTTAGCCTGGCTCCTCCTTCTCCAGAGAGCAAAGTGGAGTTTATCCTAACTTGACACTTTTATAATCTTGTGATCATTTTATTCCTGGAATCATTGTACTCCACATTTTGAAAAGCTAAAAGTAAAAATTACAAAACCCTCAACAAAGTTTGGTTGATGGAATTTAGATTTGACTGCTTCCAGTCTGAGTTTAACAAAGGAGGCTGGTGTAGATTTCTCCTGGAGTTTGTCTCCAAGAAAATGCAACTCGATTTCCTGAAATGGAGCGGATTTGTGACGTCACAGGGAAACATCTGCATTTCCTTTTCCAAAAATACTCCATTTGCATTGAACTGCACTGTGTGACATTTCCCCCAGATGGCAGTACAGTCCTTTGGATGACAGTCTTGCTGGTTTTCAAAATCTCTAGAAATATTTGTATAGGCACTGTAAAAAAAGCGTTTTGTAAATGAAATGTTCCCATAACCATCCCCATTCTAAAGCAATCATCTTCATTTTCATATATTCACTTCGAGTTTTTGTAAATATTCGTAGTCATAAGTACATTTATAATGTGCATGGCATTTTAGTCTTTTATTAAAATTCAGCATGACATATGTAATTTACAAATTTCTGTATGACCTTCATAATTATTTCATCAGTTACATACTATTACACATACTAAGTCTTTCCCCTACTGTTACATATTATGTAGTCTGCACTTTTTCACTGTTATAGATAATGATGCAGGTAAAGTCACACAATTGGCACACAGTTTTGGAATATTAAGAATTTTAGGGATAGAAATACAGGGTGAAAGACATAGATGTCTTTTGCTTTTTAATGTTTCCAGAAAGATGTGCAGATTTACAGGGCTATCAGTGCTATGAGAGGATCTGGGTTCTGACCAGTTGCACTGGACCCCCGTGTTCGTCTTTCAACATTCTCAAAGTGAGGTGCAGTGGCTCCAGCCTGTAACTCCAGCACTTTGGGAGATTGAAGTGGGAAGATTGCTTGAGCTCAGGAGGTCAAGAGCAGCCTGGGCAACAGAGTGAGACCCAGTCTCTCAAAAAAAGAATGAGGGAAGGAAGGGAGGGAGGGAGGGAGGGAGGGAGGGATAAAGAGAGAGAGAAAGAAAGAGAGTGAAAGAAATAGAGAAAGACAAGAAAGAGAAAAAGAGAGTGAGGGAGAGAGAGAGAAAGAAAAAGGAGTAAGAAATGAAATGAATGAATAAATTAGATTAGGGCTGGGCATAGTGGCTCACACCTATAGTCCCAGCACTTTGGGAGGCTGAGACGGGCAGATCGCCTGAGGTCAGGAGTTTGAGACCAGCCTGGCTAACATGGTGAAACCTCATCTCCACTGAAAATACAAAAATGCCCTGGGCATGGTGGTGGCATCTGTAATCCCAGCTACTTGGGTGGCTGAGGCAGGAGAATTGCTTGAACCCGGCAGGTGGAGGCTGCAGTGACAGGAGATTGGCCATTGCACTCCAGCCTGGGTGACAAGAGCATGACTCTGCCTCAAAAAAAAAGAAAAAAAAAACAAATTCGCCGGATGTGATGGTGCCTGCCTGTAGTCCCAGCTACCTGGGAGGTTGAGGCAGGAGGATTGCTTGAGCTGGGTGGTCAAGACTGCAGTGAGCTCTGATTGCATGACTGTACTTTAGCCTGGGTGATGGAGCAAGACCTTGTCTCCGAAAATTATAAATGTATATATCCCAAGATATCTCCCATAATACCTTAATTTCATTCAACAAGTGTTCAACAAGTGCTGTTCCAAGCTTAATATTGAGTACTGGGAAGACAGTAATGAGGAAACACAGGCAGGCGGGGAGCCAGATTCTTCATCCTACAATTATATAAACAAATGTGAAGCCCCTGCCATGACAGGCGCCATGTAGGAGAGGAACATGGTGTCCGCATTCTTGAGGGGGAGCGTTGCCGAGTCAGGAGGTCTGGCCGTTCACATGTTGTCTCCCTTCTGGGCCTCGCATTTGCTGCTCCATCTTTTGGAGCACTGGCCAAGCGTGGTCTTAGTTCCTGCTCCTGCTCCTGCTGCGGGAAACCTCATGGATAACCTGGGGTGGGGGCAGTGTCTACAGAGAAAGAGACTTGAAAACGCACTTCTGAACTGTGTGACCTTTTCTGTGTGTGTGTGGCCTTTCTTCACAGTGGCCTCCTAGAAAAACAAGACCCAGACTCAAAGAATACCTCTCATTACCGTAAGAGTGCTTGGAATGCTTTACTATTTTTTCTTTTTCTTTTCTTTCTTTTTTTTTTTTTTTGAGATGGAGCCTCGCTCTGTCGCCCAGGCTGGAGTGCAGTGGCGGGGTTTCGGCTCGCTGCAATCTCCGCTCCTGGGTTCAAGCGATTCTCTTGCCTCATCCTCCCAAGTAGCTGGGATTACAGGCTCGTGCTACCTCACCCAGCTAATTTTTGTATTTTCAGTAGAGGCAGGGCACCATGTTGGCCAGGCTGGTCTCAAACTCCTGACCTCGTGATCCACTTGCCTCAGCCTCCCAAAGTGCTGGGATTACAGGCGTCAGCCACGATGCCTGGCCTGCTTTACTAATTTTTTAAAAATTAAATTTAATTGGCCAGGCGCTGTGGCTCATGCCTGTAATCCTAGCACTTTGGGAGGCCGAGGTGGGTGGATCACCTGAGGTCAGGAGTTCAAGACCAGCCTGGCCATCATCTTGAAACCCCATCTTAAAAAAAAAAAAAAAATTAATTTAATTGTTTAATGTGGTAAAAAAATATATAACATAAAACTCACCAGCTTAACCATTTTCAGGGCACAGTTCAGTGGCATTAAGGATGCTCTCTTTGTTGTACAACCATCACCACTGACCGTCTCCAGAACTCTTAAAATCTTCCCAAAGAGAAACTCTGTACCCATCAATCTACTCTCTTTTCCCTCTCTCTTCACCCCTGGCAACCACCATCCTGCTTTCTCTTTATATGAGTTTGACTGTCCTAGATACCTCTCAAAAGTGAAATTATCCAGGTCTGTCTTTTTGTGACTAGCAGGTTTCACTTAGCAAAATGTTCTCCTGGTCCATCCATGTTGTAACCTGTGTTAGAATTTCCTTTCTTTCTAAGGCTGAAGAATATTCCGTTGTGTGGACCTACCACATTGCATGTTATCTGTTTATCCACTGATGGACACTTGATGGATCCATCTGGTGCAGAAAGAAAAAATCAAAACTTCTATGGACCTTTGTAAAGATAAGTTGGTGTTTCTAACACGTCTCAGCTTATGGCATTTGCTGGTCTGATGGCTTTTTGATTGAGCTGGATGAAGCCAAGGGTCACAGGAAGTAACTTTCTTTCTTTCTAACCACGATCCTGCACGTCTGCTCTGTGAGGTGTCATCTCCTGGCTAACATCTTCCAGAATGCTACGGAAAATAATGCAACTGTGAACATGGAGCTCTGTTCCAGTCCTTGCTTTCAATTCTTTTGTGTAGATGCACAGCAGTGGAATTGCTGGATCAGGTGGTAATGCTATGTTTGCTTTACTATTTCAAATGTGCCTTTATGCATATTGTGATACAATTTGGTCTTTACAACAGTCCTGTGAGATAAGTAGGCATTTATCTCTGGTTCAGAAAACTGACTTCCTCAAAGCTAAACGATAAATGGAAGAGTATCCTGATCTTAAACTTGGCTTTTTTATTGCCCGTTCACCTTGAAGAGTGGTTCCAATCACAAGTGTTACCTTCCAAGGACGGCGTCTTTCTGATTATAACCAGCTTGTTCTGCTGCCAGGCTTCTGTCCTGCCCTGCCCTGAGCCTTCTGTCCAAGTCTGCCCAGGTATGGGTCTGGGGCAGGGGACAGCTCATCCCTTTCCCACTGCATGGAAGAGAGGCTGTGTCCAGGGCCCCAGCAACGAAGGTTTCTCCTTTGGGTTTCTGTTTCCCTCTTTCAGTTCAGAGTCTGTCATCTGAACCATGAGGATCTGGTGGCTTCTGCTTGCCATTGGAATCTGCACAGGGGGCATAAACTCACAGGACACGTGCAGGCAAGGGCACCCTGGCATCCCTGGGAACCCTGGTCACAATGGTCTACCTGGAAGAGATGGACGAGACGGAGCAAAGGGTGACAAAGGGGATGCAGGTACTCACCTGGAGGCTTCAGCTGCCTTTCAACTTCTCCCTTCATTCCTTTCATCTCCTTCATTCATCATCTGTGTGGTTTTCCACCTACCCACTCACACCCCACCCATTCATCCACCCATCTACCCAGCAGCACTCACTGGGGCCTGACCACATTCATCTGTCCACCCATCCACCCAGCAGCACTCACCGGGGCCTGACCCCATTCATCTATCCACCCATCCACTCAGCAGCACTCACTGACCCTGCTCCATGCCACACTCTGTGCCAGGTGCTGGTGGAGAGCACAGGATGAAATGGACATGACCTCTGCCCTCCTGAGCTCTCTTACCTCTGATACCACAGAATATTTTCAGTAGTATATGATGTCATGGATTCGCCCACCTCAGGCGACAGGTGTGATGAATTTTTGGCAACATAAGTCCAGTAGAGATCTGATCACGAATTATTTGGCAGCAAGCACCCAGCTGCAGTGCAGGTGAGAGCTAATACGCATCATGCCATGAGGTAGGAGACGCGGAGCGACAGATGACACAAAAGGAGACGAGAATCTGAGCCATATAGCTGCTGCTTATGCATCAATGACCTAGGTTGGGACCCTGTCCCAGGGTCTGGGGATTTGGGGACCGGATCCAGCCTCTGGGAGGGAGATTTGCAAAAGCTGGGAAGTCTGAGTGGTTTCCATAATGACAATCAATAGACTTGGTTTCCGAATGGGTTGTCATTCTTGAGCCCTGGTCTTGACCCTAGGGTCACATATCTAAGACATACGCAGAATGATCCATCTGGGAGCAGAAAGAAAATATCAGAACTTCTATGGATCTTTTTAAAGATAAGTTGGTATTTCTAACATGTCTCAGCTTATGGCATTTGGTGGCCTGGTGGTCTTTTGTGGGGGCTGGATGAAGCCAAGGGTCACCAGGAAGCAACTTTATGTCTTTCTAACCACCATCCTGCACATCTGCTCTGTGAGGCGTCTTCTCCTGCTGACATCTCCAGCTCATTCACACTGTTCCAGTCCCTGGGAAGCAAACAGCCCAGTCCCAATGAACAGCCAAGCCTTACCCTTAATGAAATCAAGTCTTCTGCCCTCACACTGGGACCACAGTGGGGTGTGTGTGTGTGTTTCATTTCTGAATATATAGGACTTTCATTTTTTAAGTTTTTGTTATAAAATATTACACACAAAAGGCAATAAATAGGTGGATGAAAAAGAGGACGAAGACAAACACTCCTGTGTTCAATACCAAATTTCTCTACCTCTTCCCTGTTGAATTTCTCTACTCTTTGCTCAACAATGTCCATTCTTTCAAGTTTAACATACTCCTAAGAAGCAAAGGTTGTATCTATTTTTTCTGTGTAATTCGTATGTATTTTAGATATAATTTCTTGGAAGAATATTCAATCACATTACTCACACTAAGAATTGACTTCATTTGTATCTTATCTTAAAGTGCATTTTTGTGTGTGTTTTATAATAAACATATTCTTATATACCACCTTGGCATAATTTAGAGACACATAAATGTCAACTGATCAGGGTCTGTGTTCATGCTTTGTGATTTGTGATTGCATGATCATGGGAGCTCAGAGGCCTCTGCACTAAGAGAATGGGAGAACCGAGAACCAAGCAGGGAAACAAAGAAGGAAGGAGAGGAAGACACAGGGAAACAGTGGCGGGGAGGAGGGGAGGGAGGGGCAAATGTAGGGATGACTTCCCCCTGCCCCCATTCAGAGGCCCCACACTAACCAAGGCCCTGCTCCGGAGTGCTGGTGTCCCAGGAGAACAGACATCATGACAGAAACTAGTCTGCCTGTGTCAGTCCTGTCTCAGGACCTGCAAGCCAGCCCACCCTGCCCCTGTCGCCCCACAGCTGGGTCAGCGGGACTGAAGTACAGGGGTCTCTGCTGCTTTGTGAGAAGCCAGAGTCTGGGGTGAGCCGTGGTCCACTGAGTACTGACCGCCATGGCCAGAGCCATCTTCAACCTGCTGAGGGATGGCACACCGAACTAGGGCTCGGGGGGCCTGTTGTGAGCACCAGGACTTGACCGTGGTCAGCAGAGCCTCCCTCGCCCGATGTTCTCTGCCAGCTTGATTAGCGGCATTTACCCCCACTCTAAGGCACTAGAGAGATCCTTTGAGAACTCTCTCTTTTATCTTGGGCTAGTGTCACATAATCATAGTCATCTGTGTTTTCAGAAGAGGCTAGCAAATCTTCCATTCCACTCTCCTCAGAGTGATGGAAGAGGAGCAGAGTAAGGAAACTGCCCCACACCTCCAACCTTCAGATCACAGCCTGAGTCCTTGTCACAGGAGAGGAAGGGACCGTCACTCCCCATTACACACACTTCCTCCTAGCTGTCTTGCTGTGTGCTCTAGGTACGTCCCAGAGATGGGCGCTTGGGAAGTCATTCAGTTCATTTCTTAGATCACTTCTCCTGCACAGCTCAGCACTCCAGATGTCCACTCATGCCTGCCTCTCTCTATCTGCACTCATGTCGGGGACAGAGCACCCCTCAGGGCGGGGGTTACCCCCAGACTCTCCAATGCACATGGCTGATGGAGACCAATGGCCAGAAAAATCAGAAACAGAATTTCAACTCATGCCTGTTTTCTTCTTTTCCACCTAGGAGAACCGGGACATCCCGGCAGCCCAGGGAAGGACGGGACGAGTGGAGAGAAGGGAGAACGAGGTTAGAAGTTCCTATTTATGGTGCTCTAATTCTGAGCTGTGGAGGATTTAACAGTAACTATTAAGTGTTTACCATGGAAAAGTCCTCCATGCTGATTATGATCTTATGATAAAGGCAACACAGTTCTTACTCTCCAGAGGGGGAGATTCTGCCGGGATTGGCAGGCTTTGTCTAGGGCTGGTTAGTAAATATTCTTGGCTCTGCAGGCTGGACAGCTCTGTCACTACTACTCAACTTCCCCTTGTAGTGAAAGGAAGCTCCATAAATAAGCATGGCTCTGTTCCAGTGATGCAGTATGTGTAAAGACTGAAATGGGAATTTCACATGGTTTTCATGTATCGTGGAATATTATTGGTGATCATTTAAACATGCAAACCATGGCCAAGCACCATGGCTCACACCTGTAATCCCAATGCTTTAGGAGGCCCAGGTAGGAGAATCGCTTGAACCTAGAAGTTCTAGACCAGCCTGGGCAACATACTGAGACTTTGTCTATGCAAATAAAAAAAATTAGCTGGGCATGGTGACACATGCCTGTAGTCCCAGCCACTCAGGAGGCTGAGGTGGGTGGATTGCTTGAGCCTGGGAGGTTGAGGCTGCTGTGAGCCATGATCTTGTCACTGCACTCCAGCCTGGGTAAGAGAGCAGGGGACCCTGTCTCAAACAAACAAGCGAAACCCCAGAAAAACAAAACCAGAAAACCCCCACGTAAACCATGTTTGTTTAGCTTGTGGGAGGGAGGCTGAATTTGGCCTGTGGCTATAGTTTGCTGAACCTTGAACCTTGCTTCAGTGGATGAGCACTGAGGAGTGAGATTGAGTTTTTTACATCTGGCAGCACTGCATGGAGGAGGTGGCACTAGAACTGGTCCCTGAAGGGTAGGGAGGACTGTGACAGCTGACGGATTGAGAGGTGGTCATAGCGGCAAACTCATGTCATCTTCACTTTGTGCTTTTCATGTACTGACTCACTGAATGCAATATCCCGAGACACGAGGCAGTCTTATTATCCCAGTTCCATTGGTGAGGGAAGAGAGGCGCGGGATGCTCGCTAGCTCGCCTGATGTCCTGTGTGTGTTATGTGGTGGGGACAGAATGGAAAGCTGACATTTGACCTCAGAGCCCACACTTTCAACCAGGGCTCTTTAGTGTGGGTGGGGGTGCAAGGAAGCAGCAAAGTTTCTGCAGAATGATGAATTGCTGGTGGGATGGAGGGGTTGGGGCTGGGCTGGGTAGGAGAGGGCAATGAGTGCCTCGATGCAGCCTTTATTTTATGTTCCTTCCAGGGAGGAGGTTTTGAGAGGATGTCAGATGACTAGCGTTGAATGTTAGTTAATCTGCCTGTCTCTGCTCACGGATTGACATTATTTAATAGTCAGCATGGTAGACTTACATGGTAGAGTTGTAATTTCTAACATGAGCCCTGATACTAATTTAGTAGACAGTAGTCAAAAGGTGTGATGGGGTGTATTTTGTGTCCATGTGCACACACATGTGTAATTGGAGTAATTGACATTGATTGAGTGAGTGAGACCCCCATACAGGGTCTCACTCTGTTGCCCAGGCTGGAGTTCAGTGGTTTGATCATGGCTTACCTCAGCCTCGAGCTCCTGAGCTCGAGCAATCCTCCCACCTCAGCCTCCCGAGTATCTGGGACTACAGTTGTGTGCCATCACACCTGGCTAATTTTTGTATTTTTTTGCAGAGATGAGATTTTGCCATGTTTCCTGAGCTGATATTGAATTCCCAGACTCAGGGAGTCTGCCCAACTTGGCCTCTCAAAGTGCTAGGATTACAGGTTGGAATAGTTGAATTCTATTTATTTATTTTTTTAGAGTCAGGGTATTGCTATGTTGGCCAGGTTGGTCTTGAACTGTTGGCTGCAGGCAGTCCTCCTGCCTTGTCTCCCAAGGTGCTAAGATTACAGGCGTGAGCCACCGTAGCCAGGTGGAGTAATTGAACTTTTTTTTTTTTTGAGACTGATTCTCACTCTGTCACCCAGGCTGGAGTGCAGTGTCACGATCTCAGCTCACTGCAACCTCCACCTGCCGGAGTCAAGCAATTCTCCTGCCTCAGCCTCCCAAGTAGCTGGGATTACAGGCATGCACCACCATACCCGGCTAATTTTTGTGTTTCTAGTAGAGACAAGGTTTCACCATGTTGGCCAGGCTGGTCGTGAACTCCTGACCTCAGGTGATCTGCCCGTCTTTGCCTCCCAAAGTGTTGGGATTACAGGCGTGAGCCACCGCCCCCCGCTGGAGTAACTGAGTTTTAAACTCTGGGCATACACTGAACCTGTGCACTACTTCGTTTCATTTGTGAGCTCAGTTACAGAAAAACCAAAGTTGTTCACAAGGGAATGTTTCACCAACTGTCTCTATTTGCTGTTTATTTAGGAGCAGATGGAAAAGTTGAAGCAAAAGGCATCAAAGGTGATCAAGGCTCAAGAGGGTCACCAGGAAAACATGGGCCCAAGGGGCTTGCAGGCCCCATGGGAGAGAAAGGCCTCCGAGGAGAGACAGGGCCTCAGGGGCAGAAGGGGAATAAGGGTGACGTGGGTCCCACTGGTCCTGAGGGGCCAAGAGGCAACACTGGGTCTTTGGGCCCAACTGGTTTACCGGGCCCCATGGGCCCTATTGGAAAGCCTGGACCCAAGGGAGAGGCTGGACCCATGGGGCCCCAGGGTGAGCCAGGAGTCCGGGGAATAAGAGGCTGGAAAGGGGATCGAGGAGAGAAAGGGAAAATCGGTGAGACTCTAGTCTTGCCAAAAAGCGCTTTCACGGTGGGGCTCACTGTGCTGAGCAAGTTTCCTTCTTCAGATGTGCCCATTAAATTTGATAAGATCCTGTTTAATGAATTCAAGCATTATGACATAGCAACGGGGAAATTCACCTGCCACATTGCGGGGGTCTATTACTTCACCTACCACATCACCGTTTTCTCCAGGAACGTTCAGGTGTCTTTGGTCAAAAATGGAATAAAAATACTGCACACCAAAGACGCTTACATGAGCTCTGAGGACCAGGCCTCAGGCGGCATTGTCCTGCAGCTGAAGCTCGGGGATGAGGTGTGGCTGCAGGTGACAGGAGGAGAGAGGTTCAATGGCTTGTTTGCCGATGAGGACGATGACACGACTTTCACAGGGTTCCTTCTGTTCAGCAGCCCGTGACAGAGGAGAGTTTATAAATCCGCCACACCATCCATCGGAATCAGCTTGGTGACAAACTTCATCTGATGATTTTACTTTATTAATTCCTCCAATTATTGCAAGAATTATAAATGGAAAAGTTATTCCTAAAATTGACTCTGTGTAGCTTACTATCTCTCCAGGAGTAAATGTTTAAAATAACCGCATGGTTTATTCTAATTTATTTCTCGCACTGTCATTCCTATTATCTGAAGAATCTTTGCCTGTGTGTTTCTTGCGGAAAGAGTGTTTTGATATCATTTTAGTGCTCTGAGGAGTCATGTGAAGATGTATCCCTCATCTGTGTTTCTGAGGACATTAAGGGGAAGGTAAAGGGAAATGTTTATTACATTTAGTACTAGTAATAGCTTTAAGCTGGTGATGCTGTCACAGTCCAGAAAGCTGTAGACACTGCTCATTTTGTCTTTAAAAATTTTTTTTCTTGTAAGTTCTGGGATACATATACAGAATGTGCATGCAGGTTTGTTACATAGGTAACCACGTGCTGTGGTGGTATGCTGCACCTGTCAACCCATCACCTAGGTATTAAGCCCTGCATGCGTTAGCTATTGTCCTGATGCTCTCCCTCCCACTTTGCTAATTTCTAACCTAGTTTTTTTTTTCTGTTGTTTGTTTTGTTTTGTTTTGAGATGGAGTCTCACACTAGCACCCAAGCTGTAGTGCAGTGGCACAATCTTGGCTCACTGCAATCTCTGCCTCCTGGGTTCAAGCAATTCTCCTGCTTCAGTCTCCCAAGTAGCTAGGACTACTGGCCTGCACCCCCATGCCCAGCTAATTGTTTTTGTATTTTTAGTAGAGACGGGTTTTCACCATGTTAGCCAGAATGGCCTCGATCTCCTGAACTGGTGATCCGCCCACCTTGGCCTCCCAAAGTGCTGGGATTACAGGCGTGTCCGGCCAACCTACGTTTTAATCATCATTCTATCCAGCAAATTGTTGTTTGGTCATTATTTGCCAGACTTGAATCTCTATTTGTTTTCTAGAATTGCCCTAACAAAGTACATAAATTGGAAGGCTTTAAACAACAGCAGTGGACTTTCTCACAGTTCTGTAGGCTAGAAGTTTGAGATCACCTTATCAGCAGGACTGTGCTCCCTCCAAAGGGGCTGCAGGAGGATCGGCCTTGCTGCTTCCAACTTCTGGCAACTGGTGGCAGCATCACTCCAGTCCTCGCCTCCATCTTCAGCTGGCTGTCCTCCTGTATCAGCCAAATTTTCCTCTTCTTACAAGGACAGCTTTCCTAATCTAGTATGACCCATCTTAATCATATCTGCAAACTCCCTATTTTCAAATAAGGTCACATGTACAGGTACCGAGGGTTAGGACTTAGGCATCTCTTTTGGGAGACACAGTTCAACCTGCAACAATCTGCTCTCTGGTTCCCAAAGTTGATTTCCTTCCCGTGTGCAAAACACATTTTTGCCCCATCTCAACATTTCCAAAAGTCTTAACACTTTCCGAACCAACTCTTCTCACCATCTACATCATCTAAATAAGTTAAGGGGAGACCTACAGTATGAGATTCATCCTGTGGCAAAATTTCTCTCCATCTGTGATCCTGTGAAACCAGACAAGTTAAATCCGCTTCTAAAAGACAGTGGTGGGAGGGAGCAGGCATAGGATAGACAGTCCATTCCAAAAGGGAGAAAGGGGAGGAAAAAAGGGATCATGGGACCCAAGCAAGTCTGAAACCCAGGAGGAAAAATTCCATTAGACTCCTTTCACTATTTCCCATCTCAAATTTGTAAATGAGCTATGCAAGAACAAGTTACCGGACAGAGACACCAGAGAAGTGCAGGATGAATTTACCAAGAGAGTAGGTTAAAAGGGAAAGGCCTATGGTGGGCATTTCTTGTTTACTCAAGTACCTACCATCTCTCCCCTCTGGTAAAGATATCCCAATGTCCACTTGAATTCGAATGTGCCATGATTTTACCCGCCGCCCCCTCCCCCGACCCTCCGGCCTCGTGGGAGGGAAACGCAACCCTAGCCGTTTCTTACTCGGGACACAGGGGGCGCTACATCGCGACGTCAGCCGAGAAGGTGGGGGAGCGACGCTCTTTCTCTCTGGACGTCAACGTGCCCACGTCCTGAGCCCTTGCCCTAACACGGAAGCGGGGCCGTCACGTGGGGCGGCGTGAGCCGCTGCCTAGGAAACACGAAGCGCTCGATCCGGGCGGAAGCTGGGGCGCGGGAGTAGGGGTCTCGCGGCGAGGAAGGCTCTGCTCCGGGGACACGATGCTGTGCACCGGAAGGCTGGGCGGCTTTGGAGCCAGAGCAGCGGCTCGGGGCAGCCTCGGAGCCGGGATCCGGGCCCGAAGGGTCAGCACTAGCTGGTTTCCAGTGGGTGCCGCCTTCAATGTCAAGCCCCAGGGCAGCCGCTGGGACCTGTTCGGCGAGCGCCGGGTGAGCGGCGCAGGAGGAGCTCCCCTCGGTCCCCAGAGCTAAGCTGGCCCTTGCTCTGCGCGGCCAGCGACGCTCCGGGAGAGATTGTCTGGGCCTGGGAGGAAGCCGGCAGCGAATCCACCTTGTACAGTGGGGTCTCGTGTGCGCTTTTGATGACGGGCAAGGTCACCTTTGCTGTGAGGGGCCGGGTTTAGTGGTCTCTTTCCCAGAGTGTCGGGTCCAGGAACTGCCTCTGCATGAGCCCCTTGCTCCACGTGTATCTGAGTAGTTCGCCCTGGCAGTGGCGGTGAATTCGGCCTACCAGGATACGCCCTGTATCTACACTCAGCCACACCCATCGAAAGCCCTTTAGCTCCAGCGCTACACGCCTGTCTTAAAAGGCTTAACCCTGTGCGTTCATAGGCGGTATCACATGGTCTTTTGCAAGTAACACGGGTGCCTTCAGTCGAGTAATGGTAATTTCACTGATACTCGAAATTCCATCACCTGTTAATTTATTTAAGCTTTCTTGTTTTAAAACACAAAACTCTTGAGATGAGTCTGACTTCCTAGAGTGCCATGGAATTGGTCACTTTGATTTTTGACCCCTGGAAGTCACTAGACTGCATTGTTCGCTTCTTATTTATATCTGTACCTACCATGCATTCAGTTGGCACTCAGTAACTTCAGTGAGTGAATGAAAAGGTGAGAGAAAGGCAAGGTTAGAAAGGACTTACCTGATGCCTGTTCTACTTTTGTCCACTTTAGGTTAAGGACTACTTTTATTTTTGCCTTTTAAAATTTTATTATACTCTATTGCCTTATAAAGAGGAGTCTAGGGTACTGTTGCACTGAGCTAGAGGGTGTGTGATTCTTGTTTTGTCTCCGTTATCAGCTTTGTCTATTTAAAAATTATTTTGTGTGAAATGTGCTACACCACCTTCCTTAAGGGTATGTAATGTTGATATTAACATAATTGGTGTGAGGAGAACTGCTTGCAGGCAGTGAGCATAAAGACTTGAGGGGAAGCCTGATTTGGGGTGGGTGAGATATAACAAATTTTAGCTTTAATTTTTCTCTTTAGTGTCATGATATTAGGCACTGATAGCAGATTTTCAAATTTGTGATTGGTTTTTTGCCTTAAAAGAAACAATGGTTTATTCATTTTTTTAGCATTGTGGTCACTGGTAATCTGAGAGTTAGAATTCCCAAGAGCAGTATGGGCAGGTTGTACTGGGAAGTGGAAGTAGTCTGTGCTGGAATCAAATTAAATCAATATAAAGATGACATTTGTTTTTGATACTGATTCTGCTTTGTCCCCAACTGACACTTCTTTTTTTAACTTGTAATATATTTTGAAGAGAGATTAATAGCTTAACTTCATGCTGTCATCCCTACTTGTAGAAACAGTAGGCCTTATCAGACCTGAAGGTTTACCAGTTGGTATTTCCGAATATCTGTGTGTTAAGCACCTACAAAGCTAGTTAAGGATGTCTAGCATCTGCTCCCATCATTTGTTTCCTTCATTGAGTTGCTCCGTATGTTAGACGTTCTGCTGGATAGCTGGTTAAAGAAATGAAGGTCAGGGCTTTTGGGTCTGGAAGCTCAGCTTTTCAGGAGAGAAGACTTTTAAACAGGTAAACTGTAATAGAGAAGTATGGAAAACTGTGGGCATTACAGATATACAGAGCAGGTTCACGTCTTTCCCAGTGATAAATCGTGACTTCAAACAAATTTTTTCTAACCTCTTAAAGCATATGTCCTAATCCATAAAAGAATGATACTTCATTCTGTAGGATTGTGTGATTTAAATGAGAACCTATGTAAAGTAGGTTCCCATTAGATCAGTGATTTTCACTTTTATCAAGATACAGAAATGTCTTTGGAAAGTATAAAATATGCTACCAGTTTCAGCCTATGATTTTAATATGTTCATTACATTTTTCTAAAATATCTATTGCTTGATAGTCAACTCATCCTCTCTATTTTATAGTTGTAGAATAGTTAGTTCTATGTACTGAGATCTTACTCTGTCGGATACTGCTTTTAGTACTTTACATATACTTAGTACCTGTATCCATGCTGTAAGGTATCGTTTGGTAATAACATCATAATTGGTGTGAAGAGAACTACTTCTAGACACTGAACAGAAAGATGTGAGGGGAAGCCTGATTTTGGTGGATGAGATATAACTAATTTTAGCTTTATTTTTCTCTTTTGTATCATGATATTGGACACTGAAAGCAGATTTTCAAATTTGTGAGTTGGTTTTTGCCTTGAGAAAAAACCAGTTTATTCAATTTTTTAGCGTTATGGTCATCGTTCCCATTGTACATGATGAAAAAAATAAGAGGCCTAGGAGGAGAAACAACATGGCCAGCATTATAAGCTAATAATTATGGTTAACATCTTTTAAATGCTGTGTGCCGAACACTGCTATATATATATTTATACATATATTATCTCATTTAATCCTTGCAGCCACTCTTAGGTTCTATAGAAGTGACAGAGCTGGATTTTGAACCCATACCACTCAGTTTTGTTTTTCAGAAACTAATTAAAAATTGAAGAAAAATTATGTTCATAAAACATTTTTTGTGTAATTTATGTGGAGCGATATGGGGAGTATGATAGTGGTATCCGTGATCACAGATATAACATGATACACCGAAGGAAACCAAGATTTCCTTTGTGACAAAGGAAGTTTAGTAAATACAAAAATAGCATAATTTTGAATTTTGGTTATAAATTGGATGTATTCTTTGGTTCTCAGGGTCTTTTTGGAGTTCCTGAGCTCAGTGCTCCAGAAGGATTTCATATTGCACAAGAAAAAGCCTTGAGAAAGACAGAATTGCTTGTGGAGCGTGCGTGTTCCACCCCGCCTGGGCCCCAGACTGTGCTGATCTTCGATGAGCTCTCGGATTCCTTGTGCAGAGTGGCTGACTTGGTAAGATACTTTGCCTCAGACTTGAAACTACCCCTCTTTCAACCTTTTTCAAATTTTAAAATTGCAGTAAAATTTATCCTTTGTTGTTTACCATTAATATTAGATTACAAAGTTAAAAATGTCTGAAACTGTTTGAAATCCATTGCGTATAATTTGTTAGGATGAAGTATGTCATTAGGAATGGGGAAAATGTTACAGGAAAAGGTGATGTTTAGAACTGATACTTTAATATGTATATTTAATAAAATATACATGTCATATATAATGAATAAATGATTAATATAGCAAAGATTTGCTATATTTGTAATATATATATATTCATTTGACGGAGGTTCTTCACTTACGAAATCTCCCAAAATTCTAAGAATACTGTATGTGTTACACAAAATTCCTCTTTTTCTTTCGTTTTTTTTTGTGTGTGTGTGTGTGTATAATAGAGATAGGGTCTCCCTATGTTGCCCAGGCTGATCTTAAACTCCTAGCCTCAAGTGAACCTCCTGCCTCGGCCTCTCAAAGTGCTAGAATTCTAAGTGTGAGCCACTTCTTTTTCATAGGAGGTGTGAAAAGCAGTTTTAATATACCTTTCCAGGAATGCTTTTTTTTTTAAATAAAAACCAAGTTTTGACATCAAAATGATTGTAAAGACTTTGTTTTTTTTTTTTTTTTTAAACATTTTCAAGTTGAAATAGAAGTGTATACCTAGATATCTTCGCCAACTAGGAAATCCATTGCTGAGATAGCAAAATTTTCCTTTTCTTTTTTAATTTTTAATTTTTGTGGGTATATGTATATATTAATGAGGTACATGAGACATTTTGATAGAGGCATGCAATGCATAATAATTACATCGTGGAAAATGGGGTATCCATCCCCTCAAGCATTTATCCTTACGTTACAAACAATGCAGTTATGCACTTTTAGTTATTTTAAAATCAACAGTTATTATTAACTGTAGTCATCCTTTTGTGCTATCAAATAGTAGGTCTTACTCATTCTTCCTGTTTTTTTGTACCCATACGCCCCTGCTACCCCTCCCAGCCTCTGATAACCATCCTTCTACTCTTTATTTTTGTGATTCGATTGTATCTGTTTTTAGGTCCCATAATAAGTGAGAATGTGTGATGTTTGTCTTTATGTACCTGACTTATTTCACTTAACATAATGACCATGCATGTTGTCGGAAATGACATGATCTCAGTCTTTTTTTACGGCTGAATAGTATTTCATTGTGTATCAGTACCACATTTTCTTTGTCCATTCATCGGTTCATGGACACTTGAGTTGCTTCCAAATCTTGGCTATTGTGAACAGAGCTGCAACAAACATAGAAGTCCAGATATCTCTTCTATGTACTGATTTCCAGGAACCAGGATTTTCTATCAGCCTGAAGGAGCTGACTCTTGTTTCAGAGAAAGTGGCACACGCAATCCAAATAGTGATAATTTATTATCTTGTCTAGATGGTATTGAACGACATAGCTTTTTCCTTCACATTCAGTCAATGTTGAGCACCCACTGCCTGCCAAACACTGTCTAACATGCAGGAATGAAACAGACACAATCTCTGACTTCCCGGAGTTTATATTCTGGCATTAACTTGTTTTTGAAGATTTACGAGGCTGTAGGCCCTTTCTCCAGCCTAGTTAGCTGAAGGAGCTTTCTCTGGATGAGCCAAGGTAACCTTTTCAGCATATCTCCATTTTCACAAGAGGGAAGAAAGGCATTGGGTGATGAAGGGATGTGCCCACTGTCTCCTGGCCAGTATGTGGTGCAGCTGGGCTGGCAGCCCAGACAGGGTATCCATCAGGCTCCTCTTCTTTCTGCTGTTGGAACCATTTCAGGAGGGCTGGCTGGCTGCTTAGAACTGGAAAGGTTGCAAAGTTTGTTAGCCTTTCCATTTAAGAAAATACATGTACTTGTTTTTAAAATTATTATACAGTAATATTGGCTTCTTTTGGAGGATGGTGCAGTTCTATGAATTTTAACTCATATAAATTTGTGCAACCCCCACTACAATTAGGATTCAAAGCTGTTCCATCAACCCCCAAAAATCTCCCTTTATAGTCACATCCACCCCTCCCCACTAACCTCCGACAACCACTAATCTGTTCTCCATCCCTATAGTTTTGCCTTTTCTAGAATGTCACATAAGGGGAATCCTGTATACCTTTTGACTGACTTCTTTCACCCAGCATAACTCCTCCCCATCTTTATTTATTTTCCTTTTTTGGAGAATTTCCTTCCACCCATACACCTGACTTGAGCATGAACATCTTTCAGGTGATTGTTTGTTCACCACCAGCTTCACAGTCTTAAGGAAGCTGATAAAGTATTCTTATTGTAAAGGGTTTTTCTCTGGAGTGAAGTTGCAGGCTCTGGGTAGTTCTGTTGTTCTGGGTTTTTGTTCTATGCCTCCAGTATATGCATAGGAAATGTGCCTTTGAATGATGGGGGAGCTGTGGAAACGCACTGCCCAAAAGGAGGTTTCATACCCTGTTCACCTAATTATGTCACTGAGATCTGAAAAGGAAAATCTGTGTTAGTGTATTTCACTATTCAAGTACAGTCAGCCCTCCAGATTGGTGGGGGATCTGTGAAGTCAAAAATATTTGGAAAGAAAATTGCATTCATACTGAACATGTACAGACTTTTTCCCTTGTAACTGCTCCATAACACAATACAATGTAATAGCTATTTACATATTATTTACATTCATTTAGGTATTACAAGTAATCTACAGATGATTCAAAGTATGGGGTATGCTGTGTATCGGTTATATGCAAGTACTACACCATTTTATGTCAGAGACTTGAGCATCTGTGGATTTGGGTATCTGTAGGAGGATCTAACCATTGTCCACTGACACTGAGGGGTGACTATTGATTGGCGTGGCTGTCACAAATCCCAGAATTCACTGTGTATTTGTTGTCCTAGTCTTCATCTTAATTAATCAGTATTCTAGGATTTTTTCCTAAATTTTTGCTTTTGGTCTTCACTAAAAGATTTTAACTTCTCTGCCCTATATCTTTTCTTTTGACATTTTTAATAGTTATCATGTATAATAATATCTTATATAGAAAACTTAAAAAAAAACTACGTGATTTATATATGTAGGTCTCTGGGTAAGAAAGCACCTTTTTCCGTTTTGAATTTTTAAGATATTACCTGCCAGTAAGATGAGTACTGTTATGAGGCAATCGTTTTATAAACTGTTTTTCACCAAATAGTCGTTTTGGGTTTTTTACACAGTTTTTATGTAACAACTGTTTTCCTCATCGTTATTACAAATCAGTTTTTAATATGTATGCTTTGAATTTTAATATTGATTATAAATTCACAACATGTAGATTAGAAATTTGTTAAAAAAAATGATGTAAGTTTATGTAACTCATTTTTCAGGTACTTTGGTACTAATGTTACGTTATTATTGTTACCAGTTGTTACAACACATATACCAAACTTTGGATTTAAATGTTTTGGCATTAGAAACTATTTGATAATAAAATCAGGAAATTTTGCCTTGTGGTGATTTTACTTCATGTTATAGTCACACATCTTGGCAAATAAAGAAAATAGGTAGTGTTTCGCAGTTTCCCTGCTTTTTGTTACAATTAACGTGAAAATGAAAATTTAGTTTTACATCATTTTAGCTTCTTAAAAAAGAATTTTCGCTCATTTTAATTTTTAATGACATTAGCAGTAGTAGTTGTATACAGTATTACGTGGAGACTATGAATTGATATTTTATTAAAAGGACTATAAAGAGAATGTTGCCTTTGTTTTCTGTGCAAAGACTAGAATGTTGTTAAGGACAAGAATATAGGTAAAATCAGTTTCGAAACTATGCTATGTGTCAGTTAAAAAAAACAAGCCTCCGAGAGTTGTTTTCTAGAGATCGGTTCACATGTGAGAACCATACCGCATAGCATTTTAGTGAGAAAGTTGTAGAATATTTGAAACTAGTGTCTGCTCTTTTGAAATAAAGAATTATGAAGAATTTGCTTGGTGTTTATATTTGAAGGAAAAGAACTTTTCTGAAATAAAGTAGATAAAAGTATTCTTTTCAAATGAAACAAACTTGGTGTCAAGGAATAACAGAATTAATAAATGTTCACAAAGAAGCTGCTTTGCTTTACTTGCTTAGGAAAAAGTTAGTAATGGAAATACATAGGCCAAGCCAATGACACATCTTAAAACCCAGTTTTCATTTTCACCCTCAGATCCTGGAAGAAAGCTTCCCATCCAATTCCCTTTTGGTTTTGTTTTTCTCCTTTATTAGGCTGATTTTGTGAAAATCGCCCACCCTGAGCCAGCATTCAGAGAAGCCGCAGAGGAAGCCTGTAGAAGTATTGGCACCGTGGTAGAGAAGTATGTGCTGTTCTCCCCGCCCCGCCCCCTGCCAAGTGCTGGGTGATCTGGTTTCATGGACTTGTGCTGTAGGCAGTTTTATTCATAGTGCTTGTCCCCCACCCAGCAGGGTGGGAGGTGTGTGTGACCCGGGTGGCCGGAGGGAGGGCTCAGGAAAGGCCATTGGCTCACCTCACAGGCGGACTGGGGCTCTCAGTCATTTCCTGGTCTTTAAATGGGGTTGTAACGTTAACCCTGCCTCAGGGTCCTTGTGAGGGCTAAATGAGATCAATGTAAAGGTGTCACTTGTTAATCTGAGATCACAGACACCCTGGATTCTTGTTATCACCATTATCACTTACCTTAAATTAGGGCTTTTTAGTACCTTAGTGGCAAGTTGGACTTCGTAGATTATTGCTTGATTAAATTGCTGTTGCATCTATGGCTGTGGGCCACAGGGCAAGAAGCCAAAACACTCTGTAAACAGTGTTCTTGTGGCCCCCATCAAGTTGGAGTTAGGGGAGTCTAGGGAGGCCGTAAAAGTCTATGGGAGGGCTGGAGCACGCTCTGGCTGAGGCTGTGATGGAGTGTATTATTTTAAAGTGATTTTGAGGTAAATGTAAATGTTTTTAAGCCACTTATGAGAGCTCCATAGTGCTTGTTAAAATAACTGTGGACAGTACCGTATTCCAGTGCACTTAGCTACATGGCACCATGCCCAGCAGTGTATAGAGCTAGGGAGACCCCTGGGCTCGCCAGCATGGATTTACAACAGGAGAAAGGGGGTAACACGTTAAGACGATTCCATATACCAGAAATTGTTGGAGGAGGAGAATGGTGCCCTCTCTGGTTGGATGAGGCTTCCTTGGAAGACCCAATACTTCAGGATGTGCAGCTGCTGCTTTTCCAGGATGTGCAGGTCAAGCTACATTTGTTCACTTTGGCACAATTGTGTATGACTTTTCCCATAGCTGCTGAAAACCAGCCCGTAGATTGGGATAGAGCTGGGCCCTGCAGATTGCAGACACTGGGCATGCTGACGGGGCTGAAAGTGGGGACTCCCTGGGAGAAAGCTTTGCCTCTCTGGGAAAGGCTCCTGGAAAGGAGGCAGCGGCGGGCCACTTGCTTGAGGCGCTCTGCACACTACATCCTGCCAAATTAGACGTGGGCTGGGCTCATGGACAAGCACTCTTCATTTTGCGGGAGGACAAGCACAGACTAAAGTATGGATTTTATCTCAGGGTCTTCCAACATAAAACATACTGGGAGGTTTCCTTAAACCTCTGCAGTGGGGGCAGCGTGGGTAGCCTCTGAACTGCTGTCCCTTTGCCGTGGAATGGCTCCATGGGTGAGCAGGTTAAAAGGAGGTAGGCCTCCACACTCACTCTCTCCCTGACATTGGGATCCATGTGTGGGAGTCTGGCCCTTCTTGGTGACTGTTTTTTGATTGATAATGACTACCTCCATTTCCCTGGTGTTTGGGAAGGCCCATGAGAATGGTAGCAGAAACCCTTTGATTCTTACAAATCTTCAGTGTTTTTATGTGAGCCAGTGGAGGAGCAGGAGTATACTTGAGTCTCTGAGTAGAAACTGGTGGGTGGTTCTTATAACCTTGTCCCTCCTTGAAGATCTACCAAGCAGGGTGCAGATTGTATCTATACCCAGCTCACTATTTAGCTCTGAGAGGGCCATGGCATTTGCATTTAGGGGAGAGGACTGGGTTCCTGCCAGTGGTACTGTGGGATGGGTTGGGACCACTGCCCAGTGTTGGGCCCTTTGCTCTCTGGCTGGCAGAACTGCTGAACAGTGGTCATGGTTCATTCATATAGGACGTGTATGCTGCACACGTGATCTCGTTTAATCCTCACAGCAGCCTAAGGTCTCAATACCATGTCCAAGGTCCCAGAGCAGTAACAGGGCCAGTCTTGCATCCCAGGTTCCTGGCTCTGAAACCTGTGTCTTGAGCTCTCCCTTCCAGTGTGTGCCTGCCACTCACACCCACGGGAGCACAGGTAGCCTGTGTTCTAGGGCATTCAGTCCAGGACTGGAAAATCTTCGTGTTGTTCATCCTCCCATCCTCATGCCTTTCCTTTTATTAACAAAACAAGTGGCCACTGGCATGTTGCTAATGGGGACAGGTTCTCAGTTAAATCCCTAGTTACCATATCCCTCCCCTCCCTTACCCTCTTTCCTGCCTGCTCTTTCTGCCCCAGCTGTGGACTGTGGGTTTAAACTTATCCTTTAACCTGCCAGAGCAGTTAGTACCCCAGCACTTCACCTACCAGACTGCCTGTGCTGAGTAGTTCAGTTTCTAAGAATGGTTTTGCACTGGATGTGGTGGCTCATGCTTGTAATCCGAGCACTCTGGGAGACCGAGGACTGAGCAGGGAGATCATTTGAGCTCAGGAGTTTGAAATCAATCTGGGCAACATGGCAAGACACCATTTCTACAAGAAATTTAAAAATTAGCTGGTCTTGGTGGTGTGCGTCTGTAGTCCCAGCTACTTGGGAAGCTGAGGTGGAAGGATCACTTGAGCCCAGGAGATTGAGGCTGCAGTGAGCTGCGATCGTGCCACTGCACTCCAGCCTGGGTTAGAGAGTGAGACCCTTGTCTCCAAAATAAGGGAAGGAAAGGAAGAAGGGAAGGAGAAAAGGAAAGAAGGAAGGATGGTTATGCTGTTCCTGGTAGATTATGCTATTCAGCTTCTGGGCATCTGTGTGGTACAATCTGACACCATTCTTTTCATGTAAAGTTAAAAATAAAGTATTCGAAAATCATCTAATTTTTTCCTTTCTAATTTTTCTAGGTTGAACACAAATGTGGAATTATATCAAAGTTTGCAAAAATTACTAACTGATAAAAAACTTGTGGATTCCCTTGATCCGGAAACAAGGTATTCACTCATTTCTTTGCCTTGGTTGTGATTGCAACTGTAGAGGTGAGGTTGAGAGACTCCCCTCAGGGCCTCTGTACTTGCAGCCTCTGCTGTCTGGAATGTTCCTCCCGAGGTATCTCTTTGACTTCTGCTCTTTCTCTAGGACTCCACTCAAAATGGTGTCTCCCCCAAAATCTTTACACAGGGTCACAGTCCACCCTCTGATCCTGATCTATTTTTCTTCATAGTCCTGATTCGTTCCAACATATCCTATTTGTTTATTTGTCCATCATCGATCTCACCAGACTGCAAGCTCCTTGAGGGTAGGGCTTGGTCTGTTTTGTTACAGCTGCACCCTCAGCACCTACACATTCATGGAATGTGGTCAGTGCTCAACCAATGAATGAACTCCTATAATCAGTAGTTGCACTTAGCTTTATGCTCAAAGTTCCTTAATTGATGCTATCAGAAAAATAAGCAAATAGATTTTATTTACTGAGAGGATGTCAGGATCCTTGTAGTGATTTGCTTCGGTTCATTAGGCTGCGTTTATTAAATCTAAATCAAAAAGGCCTAACTTCTAAATCAACACATGCGGCTATTTGATATGAGACTTATTTCTTTGCTTAAATGTCTTTATGAGCGTAGTAGGGTTTGTCATTAACCTGTTTGTAATATTTATATCATAACACAGAGAGGAATTTTTTCTCTTCTGTTTGTACCAATTACCTACTTTTTATTAGTGGGGCACTTCCTCTGGCAACTTGATTCTTTCTGATCCTGTTTCCTTCTCCTATTTTGTCTTTATGTGGCTTATTGACCCTCAAGTGAAGCCACTTTCTGTAGGGATCAGTTGATCATCCAGTTTGCTGTTAATCTGATACATGAGCGGCATGGTATGTGAGTAGCACATTGGGGCTCAGTCTTTGAGGGATTATTTTCACCTGCCTGACAGGAATGCAGGTACCTGGTGCTGTTTCACTTTGTCAGTCCTGATGCTCAGGACACTGGTAAAGCTAGCTGTGTTATCACAGTAGCTCAAGCTTGACCATGATACTGCTTTCATGAGCGAAGCAAGGAAAAGTTGAATGCCTGTTAATTGTGCCAGATTTATACTGAACTGGTACTGATGTTAAATAACAAAAAAATGTTAAAAATAGAAGGTTATTCATAATCTCTATTTACTAAAGATCAACATGCCCTGTTTGCATATCAAAATTGTGGTGGACTAGCAGACCATCTTAGATAGAAAGGACTTGTACTGATAAGGATACATACCACATTTCTAGATATTTCTAAAAATGCCAATAGGAATTTTTAAATAATAAAATGATAAATATGTTGGGAAAAATAGACTGGGTAGAATATCAATAGTCTAGAAAAGAGAAGCAACTTGAAAGTAGGAGAGAGAAGAATTGGAAGTAATCGTTATTGCGGTAACATGGCACTTGGCGTCATTGAGTGTTGGCTAGCACCCAGGGAGAACTGTGTTTCAGACCTGCGCATACGGTCAAATACAAGACATCGGCTAAATCAAAGAATTCCAGATTTAATAAAGTCTTTTCTGGTTAGTTAATATACAGAGAAAATGATTTAAATTGGGTAACTCATCATCTTATTCTTAGATTCAGTCTTTGAAATACTAGTTCTCTGAGATGTTCAGAAATTTTCCCAGAAGGGTTCCTTCAGTCAGTAAGTTTGGAAATCTCATATATCAGTGTATTTCCCTGCTTGAAGAATTTTAGTAGTTTAGAGTCTCTGAGAAGCCCAGCCATAAAGAAACCTGTTTCACTTGGGTTTTTTCCAAAGCCGTTAAGAGCTTTCATGTATGCAAAGGTTATAATAAGCACATTCTTCAGATAATATAATGGAGGGAAAATCCTAGTTGTAAGAACAGCCAAAGCTGTAATACACCTTGGAATGAACTAAGGGAGGCAGAGTGCAGAACCATTACACACACAACACCTAGGAAGCATGAAAGCGACTGAAACGGAGAAACATGCTGTATTCTTAGATAACAAAGAATAAAGCTCAATCATGTTTACTACAGTAAGTTTAATGCTATCCAATTTATAAGGGTTTTTTGTTGTTGTTGTTACTCAAAATGATTTTGAAGTCATAGAGAATTAATATGCCAGAACAGGTAGGAAAACTCTCATGAGGGAAATTACTGAAAAGGTACTTATACCAGATAGAAGAACATAGAAAAATGCTGTATTTAAAGAGCATTATACTTAAAAATGCCAGAATAGTCAGTTAGATCAATGGAAGAATAGAGAAATTTCAGACACAGATGCAGATATGTGTGTGTGTATATATATACATACACACACACAAATATATGGCAAGATTATTTGGTATGTCATAGAAGTGTCATTTCACATCAGTGGGGAAAGACTTGGTTTTCAGTAAATGATGTTAGACCAGTGGATAACCATTTGGGGGAAAAAAGTAGATTGATTAAAGATTTAAATATTTTTAAAAGAAATATAAAACTAGTGTAATCTTGGGATGTGGAAGGTGTTTCTTGGTATGATACAAATTCATATCCCGGAAAGATTCATTGATTTTTATTATATAAACGTCGCAATCTTTGGTATAGCAAAACACTTCCACATTCAAAGTCAGAACACACAAATGGGACAAATTGTTCTTATGTGACAGAGGCTTAATATATTAACTATGTTAAGAGAACTTTCAGATTACTTTAAAAAAGGAAGAAAGAAAACCCCCTTATAGAAAAATGGGCAAAAGGTTCTCTTTGTGAAACTCTCCTTTCACAAAATAAGGAATAGCCACAGATGGCTATTAAACTGATAGCAGTGTGCCACACGCGTAACATGGCAACAAGGGGAAAGTGGGTGAAAGTGCATCTCTAGAGTGGAACAGCTGGGTTGGACGTTGGCTTCAGAGCTCATTAAGCCTTAGTTTTCTCCTTTGTAAAAGGGAAATGTAAAGTCCTTCATAAGAATCATATGAGATGTACAGGAAATCATTTGTGTTAAGTACTTTGCTCTGTACCTGGCCCATAGCAGTCATTCAGTAAATGGGACCCACCACCATTAAGGAAAGGTAGAATGAAGCGAAGAGCCCAGCAGCCAACAAAGCTGAGACAGAATAAGAATAGTATTTCTGCTCTAAGATGATGGATCCTCTCTAGTTGTGTGTGTATTGATAAGTCTTTATGGAGGACTGTTTGGTAATATATATCAGTGTGCATACTTTTTGATTAATTTCTTGGAATTTATCCTAAGGAAACAAACAAGGATTAAAAAAAAATGTAACAAGGATTTTTATTCTATTATGGTTCATGGGAGTGGGAGAACAAAAACATTTACAGTCTATATGACAACACAAAAGAAGCATCAAAAGCCAACTTCTTGAGGAATGTTTAAAGATATGGAGAACTTCAATGTTTGTGATATAATTTTACAAGAAAAAAACAAAAGTATATACAGTTGGACCTTAATTATTCTTAATATGTAATATAACATTAAAAGCAGATCAAAAGGAAATCCAAGAATTTTAATAGTCATTATCTTTGGTAGGATTAGTGATTTTAAATGTTTCATGTTTCTACAATGCAGTTTTGTAACATAATAGACCTACATTGTATAATACAATAAACATAAATTTCCATTCAAGGTATATTTGACATAATAATCAGGAAGATAAATGTATCTATTTTGAAAACTCAAGCAGAGCCAAAAGAGTAGATCAAATATTTGATTGTTTTCATTCAGTGTGTGTGTTTTTTTTTAATACTGTTGACAGAAAAAAGGTGTTACACTTGAAATTGGTTCCAAGCATGAAGCAGGATTAAAAAGAAAGAAAACAATTCTCATTAGCCAAGAAACTCAGCTTCCAGCACAGCATCAAAGAATTTAATATTCTGAATAGCTGCTACTGGCTGGAAGGAAAACTGAAAATCTCATGCAGAGGGCCTTTGAAAATTTGTCCAAATATAAAACCTGTTTTATGTTTTTAATTATTGGGATTTGGATTGAGTTGAAATAAATAAGTAATTATTATGGTGGCTTTCACAGGTTTATACTCTCTGAATAAAGGAATAAGCTCTTACATGAAGAGCCAGTCATAATTATCAGTCAGCTAGATGTTTTGCCTGACTTCGAGGATATTAAGCTCCTTGTTTAAAACAGAGAGAGAGAAAGAGAGAGAGAGAGAGAGTGTGTGTGTGTGTGTGTGTGTGTGTTTTGAAAGAATTTTTGGCAATGAGGCTCTAAAAGACTGATGATTTATTAAACAAAAAAAAAACCCCACAATTTTTTTGTTAGTAATTTTTATTACCTGTTATAACCTGGGGCTCATTTTATTTATAGGCGAGTAGCTGAACTGTTTATGTTTGATTTTGAAATTAGTGGAATCCATCTAGACAAAGAAAAGGTACATCTTTCCTCTGTTTTTTGACTCTTCCTGTTTTACTGACATTCAGTTGGTATCATTGTTGCTGCAGTCCTTGCTTGAATTTGCATATTGCATAAATGTGCAGGTCTTTTATCTGTTGTGAAATTCTTCTATAGATTGTATTTGAATGTAGCCCTCTCTGGAAGCTGGCCTATCACACCATGATGATTCAGAATTAAGAAAGACTTGGGCCAAGTGGAGTGTTTTAGATGTCATGAAATTAGGATGAGATGGGCAAAAGCAGAAAAGACTGGCAAGTGAATGGGAAAGCTGATGTCATTGAAGATTGGTAGTACAGGGAGTATCACTGAGACCTTACAAAAGTGTATTTATATGTATTATACGTGTCTTTAACAGATGCAGCAAGCACAGATTCCAGTGTTTACACTGGAATTGAGGGCCTTCTGCCTCATCCAGGCCCTTCATTTTACAGATGTGGAAACAAGACAAAGTGATTTGTTCAAGTTGCCATCCTAACTAATGGCCAAAGTTGTTAAAATTTCTAACACTGGCCATTGTCTTTCTAGCACATAACATCCCAAGAAACCTAGTGCCTCATTTCAGTTTTAAACTCAGGGCTGGAAGAACAGGAGGGGCTTGACACCATTGAAAGTTCAGCCTGCCCCATAGTCTCCACTCACCTGCCCTCTAGACTATTATGGCTTTTTATTTGTTTTAAATAGTAATACATTTCTCCTAGTAAATATGGTAGAATTAAGCCACTTACCTATGACGAGATTAAGTTATCAGAATATCTTGAAAAGTGGAAGGGAATATGTATCACATACAGTAGATACTATCATTTTGATAGTTGTTGAGTTTGAGTAAAGCTAGAGCCCCTCACACATCCGATGTGTTTGTGTGGCTTTAAAGGCTCAGCATGTGATTCTTGGTCTGACCCTGACCCAGGACATGCCTTCCCAGCAGCCCGTGAGGCTTATAGGCTCCACTATAAACTCACATTGCCTAAAGTGACCACATTTGCCCCTTTCAAAATCAGTTCTTCATTAATACTTCCCTGTAAAATAAAATTTTGGGGTCACTTAGTATTTTTTTCCTTCCTGATATTCTAACCAAGTCCTTGCGTTGTTCCTACAGTCTTGTATCTGTCTGCATCCCAAAAGCAAATCACCTTGGTTCTTATCACCAAACACCTGGGCTATTCTAAAGGCCTCTGTCTTCCTAACAGTTATTATATTTAACATCAATTGAGCATTTGCTATTTTAAAGCACATATTTCTCATTAAATCCTCACAACAACTTTGAGCTTTGTGCTACTATTATTCCTGTTTTTTCAGACGAAGAAACCAAGGCTGTAGAGGTTGTGGGAGGTTATTTTGTAAGCCAGACAGACTCCAGAGCCTACATGGCCAGCCCTGTCTGTCGGCATCCTGCTCATCAGTCTTTCCTGTCTGTGAACATTGGATTAGTTTTTGTAAGCATTGATTTGTTACTCTCCTGCACGGAATCATCCTGTGTGCCTCCCATTGTCTAGTGAAGTTAACTTCTAGTTAGTTAACTAGAAGCTCTAGTTAGTTAACAGGAGTCTAGTGAAGCTCACACTCCTGGCTGTGCTCCGGCTCGAAGCCGCTCATTCACAGTGCCCTCCCCCGTGTGTGGTGAGCTGTCCTCCTCCTAGGCCTACTCAGCAGGTTTGCCTGCCTGAAGTCCCCATGAAGGCTTCATCCTCATGCCACATTGTCAGTGAAGCAATTATCAATTCCCCACATGGAATTTTATATTCATCCAAACGCATTTTACTTCTTTCACTCATGTGACATTCTTCTTTACCTCTTATTGATGATGATGCTGTTATTGTTGTGTTGCTTATAAGGGATCGAGAACATGGATCATGTTTTTTAATGCATATTAGTTTGGGATTCAATAAAGTATTGAACTAGCATTATTATGACGAATCATAATACTAGCTAGATATCTTCAGATGGAAGGTTGCTAGTAGAGAATCCACGTGAATAGTTTTAGTTTTTATGTAATCCTCATGAAGGATGCTTTTGAAACTTTGCTGACATATGTGTTCAGTTTCACCAGCATAGACATTGCCACTTATCTAACATGTTATTACAGTGTAGCTCCTCTTTCCCAGTGAGCAGCTCCCTGGGGAACCCATCAATATTGAATATGCAAGTTAAGTAAACCTGCTCAGTTTTTCTCTTGTAACTTCCATGTCTGTTTTCAAAGGTGCTCCACTAGTACAGGATATAAGGAAGACACGTTCCATTTTTCAAAAGAGAGATCATGAAATAAACCTACCAACATAATCTATAAACCATCAAAGCCTATATTCTTTACAGTTGGTTTCTTATTTAATTTGTTTTTTTTTTTTTTTTTTTTTTTTTTGAGATGGGATTTCACCCTTGTTGCCCAGGCTGGGGTGCAGTGGTGTGATCTGGACTCACTACAACCTCTGCCTCCTGGGTTCAAGTGATTCTCCTGCGTCAGCCTCCTGATTAGCTGGGATTACAGGCATGCGCACCATGCCTGGCTAATTTTGTATTTTTACAAAATTAGTAGTGACAGGGTTTCTCCATGTTGGTCAGGCTGATGAACTCCTGACCTCACCTCAGCCTCCCAAAGTGCTGGGATTACAGACGTGAGCAACTGTGCCCAGCCTTAATTTTTAAGGTCTCATACAAATATAATTTATACATTTAAAATGAATAGAAATGTTTATTTTTAACATTATTTAATAACAAAAATTTCATAGAAGTTTTGAAGAGTTCAGATTATTGTACATTTGTTACCACAGAGTGATGAAGTGATATGCCTGGTAGATCACTGAAGTCAGCATGAGCTCAGTTTTTATATCTCAGACATTTTATCAACTGATAAAATCTTCAAAGTAATTTAATTTTATCACTTTTTGGCTTTGAGGAAAATTTTGGAACCCTAATGTAATTTCAAGATCCTGTTCGTCTTTTTTGTTATTCCACTTGTTACCATTAGGTGGTGCTAAATGGCCATATCAGAAACAAAATCAGCAAAGAGAAATCTGGACTGTAAAGACATCAAAGTCTCCAAAAACTTTTTTCCATGAAGTTTGAATTTTCTATACTGAAAACTTTTTAATGATACGTGCTCAATATTTTCCGCATCTTATCAGGCATACCTCTACATCGTCTGTGTTTATCTTTAAAAAGTATATTAGTACTGTGGCTTAATAATTTTTTAGGAGCATAGTGCAGTTTAGAACCTGTTAATTGCTCTCTCTCCTCCCAGAAAGATTTGTGTACACTTTCACCTGAAGTCCAGCATGAGCCCAGTGTAGAGCCTATCTAGTTTTTTAGTAACCAGTAACTGAAAATTCAGCCCTTGTCCTTCAGTAGACCTGACTCATAATGTGGATTCTAGTTCATATTTCATTTAAAGCATTTCTGGCAACCCTTTGCTAATACATGTTTTCTCAGGTGACTGTGTGTTACAAAGGCATGACTGCAAGATCAAACCTAGGTGGACATGCCGCCACCATCCACATCCTCATCACTGACCATCTGAGGGTCTGGCGGGTGTGAGGAACACGAGCCACATGACAGGGACACAGAGTGGAAGACAGGACCTTGCCCTGGGGCTCCAGTCTATTCTTAGGCTTAACTGTATCGTTCCGTAGCAGCTCAAGCACATACAAAATCAAAACATTGTTTTTTCCCTGAGACAGGGTCTCGCTCTGTTGCCCAGGCTGCAGTGGTGTGATCATACCTCAGTGAAGCCTTGGCCTCCTGGGCTTAAGTGATCCTCCTGCCTCAGCCCCCAAAAGACTGGGACTGCAGGCGTGTGCTACCACACCTGACCAGAATCAGAACTTTTAAAATGTGCTTCCCTGCTTATGGAGACTTCCTACACTTTTGCAAAGAACTGTATTATTATTATTTTTGAGACAATCTCCCTCTCTCTCACAGGCTGGAGTACAGTGCTGCAATCTTGGCCCATTGCATCCTCCGCCTCCTGGGTTCAAGCAGTTCTCGTGCCTCGGTCTCCCGAGTAGCTGAGATTAAAGGCACACGCCACCACACTCGACTGATCTTTGTATTTTTAGTAGAGTTGGGGTTTTACCATGTTGGCCAGGCTGGTCTCCAACTCCTGACCTCAAGTGATCCACCCTTGTTCGCCTCCCAAAGTGCTGGGATTACAAGCATGAGCCACTGCATCTGACCTGTATTTTTTAATGTTGTTAATTTCAATGATTAATTATATAACCTAGACATAAAATAGAACTAGAAGTTATGTAAACCTTAAGGCATAGAAACATCAGAAAACCATAACTATAATCCTTTTGTTAGGGTATTAAATAACTGTTAAAACTAAAACCAATATGTTATTTATGATGTATATTATATAGTAACGATATTTTCAATGTATTCATTTTATGAATATATTTAATGTTAAGTGATAATTTAACAATGTATATGTTGATTTGACATCTTTATATTTTATTAAATTAGTTGTGAAATATTAATTCAAAATGCCTTTAAATAATTTTTACTCTTCCTGCATATAGCGTAAAAGAGCAGTGGACCTCAATGTTAAAATCTTGGATTTGAGTAGTACATTTCTTATGGGAACCAACTTTCCCAACAAGATTGAGAAGCATCTCTTACCAGAACACATTCGCCATAACTTTATATCTGCTGGGGATCATATCATAATTGATGGCCTCCATGCAGAAGCACCAGATGACTTGGTATGTATGTTTCATTCTCTTTATTGTTTAGGTCCCATTTATGTGTTGCTACTGTTTTAACCCAAAATTCAGTGAAATATAGTAATATCTTTAAACAGTTTTTAGCAGGCCCGGCGTGGTGGCTCACGCCTGTAATCCCAGCACTTTGGTAGGACGAGTCAGATGGATCACTGAGGTCAGGAGTTCAAGACCAGCCTGACCAACATGGTGAAACCCCGTCTCTACTAAAAATACAAAAAAATTATCTGGGCATCATGGCAGGCACCTATAATCCCAGCTACTTGGGAGGCTGAGGCAGGAGAATTGCTTGAACCTAGGAGGCAGAGGTTGCAGTGAGCTGAGATCATGCCACTGCACTCCAGCCCAGGCAACAATTTGAGACTCCATCTCAGAAAAAAGAAGAAAAAAACAACTTTAGCATTACTATGCTAAGCCCTAAAAATTTAACTTGTGGAATCATTAATGCTATAAACACTTTAAAGAATGAAAATGGTTTAATTACTTACATTTCATACAAGATTCCTTATTTTTAAAGTATGATTAATAACAGCATTGACTGACATTCTAGACTGCAGAGGCTTTTTAATGCATGCAGCCTTGCTTCACCTGGTTAAGATGCTTTATAGCATAGAAGTCCATGCATTGGGTAGAGGTTTGCCCCACCGTACCTCAGAATAGTCCCCTAGAGTTGCAGTCAGGTATGCTGTAGCATCCCATGCTATTTTGTGACTCTGGAAGCTTTATCGCCTTCTGTAGACCATTGCTTTATTTTGAAGGCAGTGATCACCTGCAGATAAAGTGGGATCATGAGCCTGTGTTATTGTCACATAGGACTGTGTCATGGTATTTATATCCTTTACCATTTACTTTTTAAATGTAGGTGCGAGAAGCTGCTTATAAAATTTTTCTTTATCCCAATGCTGGTCAATTGAAATGTTTAGAAGAATTGCTCAGCAGCAGAGATCTTCTGGCAAAGTTGGTAGGGTATTCCACATTTTCCCACAGGGCTCTCCAAGGAACAATAGCTAAAAATCCAGGTAAGCCTGTTTATCCAACATTTAAGGACAAAATAGGTTGTTATGAAACTGAGCTTTTGATTTCAAATAGCTGTAAATTAGTGTTCTATTTTTAATACAGAGGACCATTTATTGAGATTTTTAAATGTATTTTTATAGGAACCATTTTTAAATAGAGCTAATAATTTGGCATATATTCTAACCAACCAAAGTGTTTTATTTTACATGAATGTTGAGAGTAAAATCATAACCTAAATTTTCATTTTGATGTTAGTCTAACTTGTTTTCATTTTAACTCAATTAGTTTCTGTGCTCAATTTGACCAAATTGGTTAAAATTAGGATGAGAGAATGAAAGATGAGTATTTTTACTGAGGTCAAGGTTAAATGTCAGCTAGGTCATATAAGAAACACATAGTCAGATAAGCCTTGTTTTCAGAGAGAAGAGTGTGCTGCATAGGAAGGTTTGTGCTGGGTGGGGTGTGACGGAAGTGTGTCCTTGGGTTTGCAATAAACTTGCCTTCTGCTGTGTTGAGTTCCTTATGATTCATAATGTCTAAGAAAAAATGTTACACAATAATAATATAAATGTACATAATATATTTTTTCAAAAGCACTTCTTGAATTATAGTTGTAATTTAGGTGGTGAGTCAGGAGTAGGGTGGCCATGATGGTGGAGCTGAGGGAGATTCATTGTCTTGGCAGTGAAGTTGCAAGACTTGGTGAGGATGAAGGGGAGGAGGAGGCAGCGTGGTGGCCCCCTGGGTTTCTGGCTGTGCATCTGGATAGACATTCCACTCACAGAGAGAGGGGACACTGCGGGCAGATCATAACCTGAATCCTCACTTGTCTTTATTCCTTCTGTGCTTATCCCTTCGTACCCTAGCATGTTCCTCTCTTCTCCAGAGTCCTCGGAATGCACTCAGTCTTCTTACTGTTTCATAAATGGCTGTTTCCTTTGACCTGTGAAGGCTCTCGGCCAAGCCACAGGCGTGTCACACTCATTGCAGCCTTGGTTCCCTCACTCATGTCTCAAAGTCTCCAGTGGAGAGCACCTTCTCTTCCCAGTCTGTCTGTTAAAATCTTACCCGTTTTTTAGTGCTCAGCTCAAGACCCACCTCTTTGATGAAGCTTGTTACACTTTTTCACTTTCTTTGGACTCCTTTGTCCTCAGACCTTACAACACTTACAATTTGTTTCATGTAACTGAAGCTCCTAAACAGGTATAATAAGTATGTTATGTATTATATGTGTGTTTTTAGTGGATGTTTTTTCCTTTTTTGTAAGCATCAGTTTGGTGAAAAGTGTTTTTCTGTCATCACTGTTGTCGACAGTTCGATTACACTAGTACTATATTTGTATCTTATCTTATATAAAATCATATTAGAATAACACTCAGTGCTTACTCTGTTGTATCTCATTTCCTTCCTCTGCAGCTTTGTGAACTAGGTATTTGTATTCATGTCACAGATAAGGAATCTAAGGTTAGGTTATATTGCTAAAATATGGCAGAACTGAAGCCTAAATACATACTCTACGTTTATGGTTTTACATAGGCTGCTTGAGACCTAATGCTCTTTTATGTCATCTATACCCTATTTTTATTTATTAATTGAGCAAATATTTACTGAATGCCCACTATATGTCAGATACTATTCTCGGCCATGGAAATAAATCAGTGTGTAAAGCAGAAGAAAATTCCTATTCTTTTGCAGTTTACATTCTTGTGAGCAAGGGAAGACAGTTAAGAAAGAAATAAGTAGATAAAGTATTTGGGATGTTATTAGTTAATACAGGCCGTGGAGAAAACTGAACAGCGGAGGGGATGAGGAACGTGGGCATGTAGGCTGGTGTTGGAGTTTTAGAGGGCGTTGTCGGAGGGCTTGCTGAGAACATGGCATGTGAGTGTGCTCTTGACAGGCACAGGTGTGAGGCTGTGGCTCTTGAGGGGAGGAAGGTTTCATGCAGAGGCACTAGCAAGGGCTAAGGCCTTGAGGCAGAAAAATGCCTGCCACATTTGAGGAAAAGCAAAGAGGGCAGAGTGGCTGAAGCAGTGTGTGTGAGGAGAGTGGCGAGAGGTGGGACAGACTGACAAGGGGCAACGTTAAGTAGACTTCACACAAGAGCACTGGGACCCTGGCGGGGTTGGGGCAGAGGAGTGAGGTGATCTGACTCCAGTGCTAATGGTGAGTCCGTGCTAATGGTGGAAGAGAGACTGCTCAGGTGCTGGTGTGCGGTAACCATGATGAGAAGTGTTGGCATCTGGACTGGGTGATAGCAGGGAAGACGGTAAGATGTGATCAGATTCTGGATATATGGTATTTGAAAGAGGGAGCCAATGTTTTTGACCTAAGCAACTAGAAAGAGGGTGAGTTACTGTTAACTAAGATGGGGAGGACCAGGAACTTGGTTTGGTTCAAGTTAAGTCTGAGATACCAAACGAGGTTCAAGTGGCAATGTTGGGTAGGCAGTTAGAGTGTGGAGTTCTGAGCTGCAGATGTAAATTTGAACCTCTAAAATGAGACTCTGAGACCACTAAGGGAGTGCACTTAAAGAACAAATCCAAGGACTGAGCTCTGTTCAAACATCTCCAAGTTTAAGAGGCCAGGCATGTGAGGAACTGCTAGTCAACACTCCCAAGTTTAATGGCCAGTGGGGGAGGCGGAAAGTGATTACAGTGTGTGGTCCTGGAGGCCACGCAGGTCTGTCTACAGGAGAAGGGAGAGATCGGCTGACTCATGCTGTGGGCAGGTCAGATGTGAGGAGGACTGGGCACGACCACTGGCTCCAGCAGTGTGGAGCTCACTGGACCTGCAGCACCCAGCGCCAAATTCCATAACTGGCAAGTCACCCTTGTGTACTAAGTGCTTGGTGTGCTGATGTATTGGCAGGGGAATGTGGTGCCTGTGCCCTGGGTTCATGAGGATTTAAAGCTTAGTATATTCATAAAAAAATGTAAATAGTAATACAGATTGGCACATTTTCAGTGCTGATGGAGTAGTACAGACAATGCCATGGGATTTAGAAGCTCTGGGTGTTTGTCAGATGTGTCTATGGCTGTTGAAGGCACCCTGAGGAAAATGAAACCCCTCATGCACAGTGACGGAGTGAGCCTGCAGTAGAGCAGAAGGAAGGCAGGAGAGGCTGACTGAGGCTAAGGCAGGCATTCTTGTGGCCAGTGAATGAGGAGGTAACTGCGGTGAGGCACTTAGTGATTTTCAGGGGGTTTGAAACTCAGTCTTAATATGACAGTTCTCTAGGTACACTAATTGAGGCAGGCCAGGCACGGTGGCTCATGCCTGTAATCCCAGCACTTCGGGAGGCCAAGGTGGGCAGATCACATGAGTTCAGGAGTTTGGGACCAGCCTGGCCAACATGGTGAAACCCTGTCTCTACTAAAAATACAAAATTAGCAAGGTGTGGTGGGGCATGCTTGTAATCCCAGCTACTTGGGAGGCTGAGGCAGGAGAATCACTTGAACCCATGAGATAGAGGTTGCAGTGAGCCGGATTGCACCACTGCACTCCAGCCTGGGTGACAGAGCAAGACTCTGTCTCAAAAAAAAAAAAGATTAATTGAGGCAGATTCTTCACATATAAAATTGTTAGAATAAGATAGGTGAATATTAAAACATGGTTATTAAGAAAAAAGTGTACAAGCGTACACAGGATTCTTTTGAAAACAGTTTTGTATGGCACCTGGTATGCAATCCTAAAATGAGATTTTATTGTTGACTAAATAATATATTTTTTCCCCAAAAATTTCTATTGTCATTTAATATGGCACATGAGACAGAGCAAGACTCCATCTCAAAAAAGAAGTATTTTAATAAAACTGCTTTAAAAATTCTATCAGAAGTTAAGATGTATTGTTCTTATTTTTCTGGGTTTTTTTGTATTTTTCCTGAATAGATTATTCTACAGTTAAAAACAAAATAGTTATCAAGAAAAACACTGATTTTTTAAAAGTGTTTTTCAGTGAATCATACTTCTACACTGCACCTATTTTTAGCAACAAACCAGTCTCGATAGCTCTTTAAAACTTTGAAAAAAATCAGACATGTCTAAAAACCCTTTTTCTTACACATATGAATAGATAGAAGCACCTTGAAATTTTGGACTTTTTTCTTCAGCCTCCCATTAATTCTTTTTTTTTTTTTTTTTTTGAGATGGAGTCTCACTCTGTTGCCCAGGCTGGAGTGCAGTGGTGTGATCTGGGCTCAATACAATCTCCTCCTCCTAGGTTTTAAGAGATTCTCCTGCATCAGCCTCCTGAGCAGCTGGGACTACTGCACCACCGTGCCCTACTAATTTTTGTATTTTTGGTAGAGACAGGGTTTTGCCATGTTTGCCAGGCTGGTCTTGAACTACTGACCTCAGGCGATCCACACCCCCTCAGCCTCCAAAAGTACTGGGATTACAGGAATGAGCCACTGTGTCCGGCTCCAGTAACTATTTTAATTTTGGGATATAATCTGAGGCTATGGGTTATTACTATGCCATAATTTTTCTGCCATGTTTTTCTGATTAACAGATCATCATTATCTAGAAGTGTTTACTATATGTTTGGAACGTTAGTAGCTCTACTTTCCTTTGAAAATCCTAACTTTAAGGGAATCATGGTATATAGATTATGATACTCACATAATAATTTTAACAGATATGTTCATTTTATTTCACATAATTGAAGATATTTTCTTTTGGATTTCATTTTAGAGACTGTCATGCAGTTCCTTGAGAAACTATCTGACAGACTTTCTGAAAGGTTAGTTTTTACTCTACTATTTAGTTATTTGGTTATGTGTTAGTTTTTTTAAAGAAGACTTGATTTATAAAAACTCAGAAAGTGAGCTAGAATATCAGTTCTGGGATATTGGGCTAGACCTGTCTCACTATGAGATAGACTTTGAAAGACCATCGTTTTCTTCCTAAGGTGCCAGTCATGAAAACATAGGCTGTCCCCTCCCATTCACCAGTTATCTTTAGAAATTCATCTCTCATTTTAAAAAATCTTTACCAAAATGTTTTTGAAACTATTTATTTTAACTTGTACCATGAATTTTATGACAAGTTCCTAAAGTAGTATTTCTCTTCTTTTGGCCTAAATACAGGAGGCTTATGGATGTGGTGGCCTAATCTTTTTGATTTTGTGTAGTATTTTAGAATGTTCTATCTCAACATTTGTAATTTCAAGCTGAAGTGTTTTACTGCCTTTGGTATGTCCGTTTGTTATATGTAAGTTGAATGTCCCTTATCTGAAATGCATGGGACCAGACATGTTTTGGATTTCATTTTTTTGAGGGATTTTGGAATATTTGCATATATATAATGAGATATCTTGGGGATGGAACCCAAGCCTGAACACGAAATTCATTTATGTTTCATATACACCTTATACACATAGCCTGAAGATAATTTTATACAATGTTTTTAATAATTTTGTGCCTGAAACCAAGTTTTGGCTGTGACTCATCACATGACATCACATGTGGAATTTTCCACTTGCACCATCATGTCAGTGCTCAGGAAGTTTCAGATTTTCAGATTAGGGAGGCTCAACCTGTATTCCTGCCTCCCCCGCTCCTTCCCTGCTCAGTGCCTTCCATCATGCACCTGCCCTTCACTGGCCCTCTTCTAGGACTTAGTTGAGAGGCAGCACACCTTTAGGTACTGAGGATTCTAGGAAGAAGCAGTCATGGTTTGTAAAAGAGGATGTTTTCTCTTTTCTTTCTTGTGTCGCTGTCTAAAATTTTTTTTTTTTTTTTTTTTTTTTTTTTTTCCTTTTTTGGCTACACGTACACATTGAATCTTGGCTCACATTTCTGTTTTGGACTATAAACTCATGCCTTAGAACTCATTCCTCTCTAGTTAGGATTATGTTTCTAAATTCTAAAAATTTCTTTTTTCTTTTTTAAAGTTTTTGAGATGGAGTCTTGCACTGTAGCCCAGGCTGGAGTGTAATGGTGCCGTCTCGGCTCACTGCAACCTCTGCCTCCCGAGTTCAAGCAATTCTCCTGCCTCAGCCTCCCGAGTAGCTGGGATTGTAGGCTCCTGCCACCACACCTGGCTAATTTTTTGTATTTTTAGTAGAGACGGGGTTCCACTGTGTTGGCCAGACTGATACTGAACTTGTGACCTCGTGATCCACCTGCCTCAGTCTCTAAATTGCTGGGATTACAGGTGTGAGCCACCGTGCCCAGCCTAAAAATCTCCTTTAATAATCCCAGTGAACCACTGTGTCTTTGGTACAATAAAGAAAAAGGGTTAACTATGTACTTATTTGAGGATTTATTCTACTTTGTTAGTTAAGTGTTAGTAGTCTTTTTCTACATAGCTATAGATTTTTGAGCAAGCATAGCCTCATAATTTTACAGGTATATATAGGAGTTAATTCCAATATACATGTCATATTCTACAAATATTAAATACTTAATTATTGACCAGCTAGAGTTTTTCAATAGGGAAAAATGACTAGAAATCTTAAATGTAACCAATGATAAAATTCCTTTCTAGAAGGTAATTTGTTTAGTCTCTTTTAAAGGTATCACAAAAAGTAGTGATTTAAAGTTTGCTGATTAGTGCTTTGCATATTTGTAATGACATTGCTAGTTTTTCCAAACTTTAGTACTTTTGAGGCATATATCTACCATGATGCTTTTTAAGGTAGAAATTACATTAATATACTGCTTTATATGTTGCTGTTTCTCATGACAGGTAAAATTTGGATTAGTGGTGATTTACATGTGTACTACTAATTATATCTAATCTTATAAATATTGGAATGTAACATAAGCATAGTCCTTTCATAACATAATTATTAAGATTTTGTCCTAGGTTTTCTTATTTTGCTGTTGGTTATAAAGAGTTAAATGAAAGGAAGAAGGAAATTAACCTCATTCTCAGAGAGAGGGTTTTCAGGCATGGGCTGATGTGGACATGAATGTGGGTGGATGTGCGTGTGCTGAGGGAGTCAGAGCACATGAAAGAAGCCAGGCACCCCACACTACAGGACTCCGCAGAAGGGGCAGGTTCGTCCTGACCCGAGAGTTCACAGGAGTTTGTTCTGTCGTGGTAGGAATTTCTTTTCCTAAGAAGAGCAGGCAAAGGAAAGAACTTCTATTTTGCAAGCACAATTTTTTTCCTGCTCTGGAAGTTCAGGGAACAGCCCAGTCCCACACCCTCTGCTGGTCACTTTTTATAGAAGTGTTTGCACCCAGGCCATGCTTTAGGACCTCATGGTTAACATGAATCCCCATGTCCCTGTGCCCTTCCCACCCCCAAGGCCTTCAATATAAAGGATCTAGAAACCAAATCATCCCAATCTGAAATGTTAAATGTAATGTCTTTTCTTAAACCTATAACTTGGTACCAAAGAATGAAAATATAAGACTCCCGCTACAGAACTGTGGGGGGATCTGTCACTTTCCAGGATTGGTTGGTTGTAAGCTGGACTTGGGCATAAAACTTGTGCTTCTGGGCATTGTCTGTCTTTCAAGTGTAAAGCAGGTGTAGCTGATACCCTGCTTGTCAGAACCCAGTGGGTTCCTGCATTCCCTTAAATACTGAAATAAGAACCCAATTCTGGAGGAGCCTTCCTCAGGGAAAGAGTGACTCTTAAACAAACGTCAGTGAGAGTCACAAGGGAGACCCCTTGTTTAAAAATAAAGACTTATGGATCAACTTCTGTTCCTCTGTTTAAGAGAAATTTCTATTGCAAAATATAGTTTGAAATGAGCAGAACAGATTAACAAAGGGAGCAATTTGCTTTTGTTATCCCAACAGAAAAAGGAGATGATGGGGACGATATGACAAGTCAATCACATTGCTTTTCCTGCACCCCTCTTTTGGACGTTTAATCTATGACTACAAGCTACGCTGTCTCTTCCCATTGCTTTAATTCTAGGGTTGCTGAGTGACCAAAATGGGAAGAAAAAAAAATTTCATCTCACAGAGGAGAACTGCCTGCAATAAAAGATTGAAAAGCTGGAAAGTAGCTTCAAACTGCTGGCTCCCAGCTGCTGTTGCGGGGGAGAAGGCATTTAGAAATCATGTTTGGTAGAAGCTCCTTTTACTATGGAATTTAATAGTGAATCCTTCCCCAGTGACTATTCGCTTGCCTTTTGGCCATTAAGCTCTAAGTTCTTTGGTAAAGAGTTAACGTAGTTGAACATTTTTACTGTTTTTTATTTTGGAATAACTTGGTGCTGATCTTTCTTCCTTCTCCCTAGCCACCCAACAAGCCACCCTTTAAATACCAAAGACACCCGGTTTTAAATACTTGAAAAAAATATTTTATTGAGGAAATGGATCTTGATTAAAATCTTTTGGTAGTTAAAAAAAAAAAGAAAAAAGAAATTGTCCTAACAAGTAATGCTAAACCTGTTTTATAGAACTCTAAAAGACTTTGAGATGATTCGAGGGATGAAAATGAAACTGAATCCTCGAAATTCGGTGAGTATGTTGGAATATTTTTATTACAGTATAGACAGTCTATCAGCTGAAATCAGTATCTTTTCATTCAGGAACGTTTTTGTGATCGGCTAGAGGTCCATTCAGTCTTGTTTCTGATACTCAGGTTTGGTGAATAAAGATGTTGAAATACTTGATTCTTATGTCCAAACTGATGTTGCCTGTACAGATACATACAGCATTTTTGTGGTTGAGTTGACCTATTTTATGTGTATACACTAACACAGTGTGCATGTATGTACACACACACACACACACACACACATTTATGCGAAGACTGCTTTCATTCTGTGGAATGTTGGCCTCTCAGTTTAAAGCAGCCTTGAGGAGGCTCAGTGGAGGCTTATCTGGCGGGTGGCAATTTTAACCATTAGTCTTAACGTTGCAGTTCATTTGCTTATTTGTTTGCTAATTTATGGTGCTCAGTTGAGTGATCAGTATTTGACTAACAAAGTATACCACATTCTAAAAACACTTAAGTGTTGTTTTCAGTCATATGATTGTAGATCTTCCTTATATGATCCAACAGTATAGGCTAGCGTTGTTATGGCCAGAATGCTGTGCAAGTGATTAGGGGGTGCCTTGAAAAGTGTCAAGAGTCCAGATATTAGGACTCATTCCCATTCAGTTCTAGGGCACTACAGGATTGCTGGGGTTGTCTACACCATTCTTTTCCAAATACTGTTGTAAATTCTTGACTTAGTTGCTGCTGCCAGAGTCATAGTCACAGGGAAGATTTAGAGAAATAGACCTTGCAGATTTACAGACTGTTTACTAGCTGCGCAGACACAGCCCCTAGGAAGCAGATTAATCCCATCAAACTCGGCGATTTGTAAAGTGGCGTGCCAGTCTGTCAATTTATGGAAGGAGCTGTGTCTAGCAAAGTGACTAGTGTTAGTCATCTGCACACCTAGGCCTGGTAGGTAGGCTCATTTAGGAAACTAGGTAATAGATAATAATTTAGTTGGGTGATGGTAGAAACAGAAAAATGAAAAATAAAATGTGTTGTCAAAAGCTAATTCAGTAAAAGTGAATATGACTTTAAACTGTTATCTGTAGACATTTTTATATAGCTTATGGATACGATTATTCTGCAGGTGTTTGTGAAGTGGCCAGATCCTGGTTTTGGCAAATGGTGCCACTATTCACCCTGCTGCTCTTGTCAGGACCTGTACTTAATCCAGACCAATGGTTCTCAAAGTGTGGTCCCTGGACCAGAAGCGGTAGCATCACATGGGAACTTGTTAGAAATGCAAATTCTTAAGCCCCACTTCAGACCCACTAAATCAAAAACGGGGTGAGCTCCACAATGTGTTTCAACCAGCCCCCCAGGCACTGCACACTCCCTTCCCCATAGTCAGTTGTTAGGTCCTGCAGATTCTCCCCCGCTGTGAACTCTTGTGTCTTCTCCTCCTGTGCCCATTGCCATAGCCTGGATTGCGATCACTATTCTCACCCAGATGGTAACTGGGATTGCCTAACTGGTTTCTAACCTTTTGTTCTTGCTCCACTCAAAGCCATCTTGGATTCAGATAGTTTAGCCATGTTTTTAGCCCAGTGTTAGGCATAGAGTTGGTTGTCAGCACGTATTTGAACTATGAGTGAATAATGACTGAATGAATTGCCACCAGAGGGATTTGTCTAAAAAGCAGATCTGATCTTGTCATTGTATTGTTTAAAGTTCTCCAGGAGCTCCCAATTATTCTCTGATTTCCCTTCCTCCTGCTCTGTCCTCCTGCCAAGCCCTCATGATTTGGCCCTTGCCTGCTTCTCTAGCTTTATCTTCTGCTGCCCCTCCAAGCCGTGACTGTGTTCATTGCTCTCTCCTAATATCTGTGTGATGCTCATGTGATCTGTTCACTTAGTTTGGTTTCTTTGATTCTTAATTCAAATTAATATTAATGTGCCGGACACACAAATATGGCATGTGGGCAGCTTCCATTCATTTACAAACACCACATACAGGAATGCCTTTCCCCCATCTCATCTGGATAAACTGCTCCTATCATAAAACTCAATTCAGGCTTTGCCTTCTCGAGAACGTGGAGAACATTTCCTGACCTTCCACTGTGATTTAAATATCCTTCTCGTGGGCTGTGTTTTACATGGCGCAATGTAAACATGACATACTGTCCTCTGATTGTTGAGTCACTTGCCTTTCTACTGCCTAGGTCATCGTTGTCTTGTTTTTATCTCATTACAGCCTGTACTCTGTCTGCATCTAGCAGATGGTAGTAAATAATCATCTGTTAGAGGAAATGTGTGCCAGGACCTGAACACTAGGGGGGTGAGGGTTCCAGGGACACAGTCCTTGCCCTTGAGGCACTCGTGGGGAGAAAGAAGATAAGCCTACAAGTATTTTACGTTGTCATACATCCCATGATCTAAGTATTACCATGGAATATGGGAAAGCACATTTCTTACTGGAGGAGGTTATTCCTAAACTGAAACGTTAAAGGATAATGGTGATAAGGGGAGCAGCCAACATCTGCTGAGCCCTTACTCAGTGCCAGATGTTCTACTTCATAGTGTAAGTGCATTCAGCAATCTTATTTGGGAGGTACTGTTAATTCTTTCAACAAAAGAATATTAAATAGTAGCATATTTACTGAGCGACTACCCTGTGCCAGGCACTGTTGAGGGTACAGGAATGGAATAGGGAACAATGCAGACAAAGTCCCTGTCATCATGCAGTTTATAGTCTGGTATGGATTGGAAACTGGAACCCAGGCAGTCTGTCTTCCCAGCCTGGCCTCTTAACCACCCTTTTGTCCTCCTGGACACCTAGTAGGAAGAACAATTTATTCAAGTATCCGAGCTTTCCCTTCTTTCAGTATTATGTACCAGTCATCAAAAGCGACTAGTACTACAGTACTTCTTTATGACGTATTTTCTTTGCCAAGATTAGAGTTAATTCTGCGTTGGTTACATTTTCAATTTTTGCTTTCATTTTTGATATCTATCCTAAGCTTCTTGTTTAGATTTAGATAGAACCTTAATCTTACCGTTAGTATACTTATCTTACCTGCAGTATGTTTTGTGGATTAATACATGGGTTACATTTTGGGAAAAATTTTATCATGGCTAATATAATTCTTTAATGTTGACTTTTGTTAGATTCCATTTTAGAATGACATTTGTTGACCTTTTCCCCAGATTCTGGGTTAAGTCTTACTTATACCTCACTGTCCCTTGGTTACAGGGAAGTCAAAATAAGGAGCCAGGTATTTTCTGCCAAGCTACCAATTTTTTAAGGGATTTGATAAATTTGTTCTGATTTACATGAACAGTAGCCGGCTTATATTCTATGAGCTAGCCACGTTGCTGATAAAAACTAGGAAAGAGTCAGAAGCTTTCCTTAACAGTGAATTATTCCATTGTAGGAAGTAATGCCTTGGGACCCCCCCTACTACAGTGGTGTGATTCGTGCAGAAAGGTAAGTTTTTCAAGAAATACCCATACAGGAAGAGGAAGAAGGAAACTAATGTTTATTCAGCACTTGGCACATTAATTCTGCAGCTGTTGTCATCTACTGAGTCGCCCACAGTGCCAGCCCTTCCCCAACACCATCCCTTCTGGCCTGGTCTGCTCCACTCATGAACTCTTGGGTGCATGAATCATTTCCTGCTTTAAAACTCTAGAATCTGGTCCCTCTTCAGCCCTGCCCTTGCATAGCTTTCGGGTTCTCTTCCTAGGCGGTGAGCATTGCTGGAGTCCTTGTTGTGTCCTGTTGCTGGCCCAGAGGAGGGGCTCAGCATGTGTTTAATGAACCAGTGGAAGAATAAAGTGGTGCTTGGCATGGTGCTATGTGATTTTCTTATGTTTTCTCATTTTTATTTGGACACATACATTGTTAAGACATTATTGGTCCGTCTGGAAGGGTATAAATGAAATAAGGATGTAAGGAACTTAAGTCGAGTGAAGTACTCCTCTGGCTTCTGTATCCTCCTGTGTTTATTTTACTGGAGAAAAGTAGGTATGTCCTTCTCTCCCTACATACACACTACTTCTCTAATTTTTATATTTATTTGTAAACTCAAGAAATAGAGCTCTTTTTGCAGTGAACACATTTAAAAATGTTTATAGCTCAAGCAACTTTATATACGCAATTTTTAAAAAAACAATCTCAGCAACCAACCCTTTAAAAACCTATTAACATTTTTCTCTCATAGTTAATTTTTGAGATATGCTATTTGAGTAGGAGAGTTAAGGTCGTTTTAGGTAATAGCAGAAAAATGTGAGGTATTTTGTTTTTTTCCTCATTAAAGCATACTGGCATGTCCTGTGATAATATGGATATTTATTTGGTATTAAGCTTTAAAATATTTTTATTACTATGAAGCATCAAGTAAACCATTGTAGGTACTTCTCCAAAATTAGATGTATTTACTTAATTATTTCTTTTGGCTTTTGTGATAAAAACAGAAAACAATAACTTTGTATGTCCTTTTCTATACCAGCAGGATGAGGTGGCCTAAGATCAGTTAGTGTATTAAAGCACTCACTCACTTAATTTTCATTTATTTTCCTCTCTCTGGGCGCCATCCATCACTGTTGCCAAAACCATTTTTACTTAGAAGACGCAATTGTCTCCTATCCTTTAGTTAAGAATATTTGCTCAGATACTATTTTTTATTAAAAAACTTTTTTTAGAGACAGGGTCTCACTTTGTTGCTCAGGCCAAAGTACAGTGACGCAGTCGTGGCTCACTGTAGCCTCAAGCTCTTAGGCTCCTGCAGTCCTCCTGCCTCAGCCTCCCGCATAGCTGGGACTACAGGTGCATACCAACACACCCAGCCGATTTTTAAATTTTTTTTTGTAGAGATACAGGTTCTTGCTGTGTTGCCCAGTTTTGTTAGCTACTACTTTTTAAACATGTATCTCAAATTCAGCATCAGTATTCTTTTTAATGAAAACATAGAAACTGTTATTCAAAATCTGTAATAATTTGGTTATGATAAACAATGAGGATTTAGAATATATTATAGCTTAATGTAAGATATTGTTTCACAAAAGTGTTTTCTGGTTGCAGAATCTGAAACCCTGCTCCCTATAGTTGCATTAAAAAATACAATTTCTCTTTTAAAATTCTGTCAGAGAAAGATTTGGCTTGATTGTTTGGCCTGTTAAAGATGTAGCATAAATCAGTAGTAAAATTTGTTAGTACTTTCCATGTTTATGTAAAGCATTTGAATTTTGACACTGGATAGTAATGTAAATTGAATACATTTGTTTCTAATTTTTGCTACTCTCATATTTATTTGGTATTCCTTCCATATCATGTCCCCTGCAACTGATTATTTTAAATAATGCTTTGACCTTAACTTTAAGTGATAGTTTTGTCATCTGTACTCTGTAAACATAGCAAGCCCAGATGGTGGTTCCGAGGTAGGAGATCGGCAGGACCTCTTTTCTGGTCACAACCTGCTGACTAAAACAGGATCTGGTCCAGACAGGATGAATGAGGTAAAGAAACCAGCCCAGACCAGCAGAGGGCAAGGAAAGGGATCCCTGGCCGCCTTCACTGCTCAAAGACACTCCCACCAGCACCTTGACAGTTTACAAGTGCCCTGGCCAGTGACCGGGGGAAGTTATCACCCACTTCCTAGAAAGTTCTGAATAACCTACCCTCAGTTTGCATTAATGTGCCCCTTGATTTGCATTTAGATAAGAGTGGTATAAATACAGCTGTCAGCAGCCCACAAGCATGGCTCTGGGTGCACTGAGGACCTGTTTACAACCCACTTTTGTTTTACAGAAAGGAGCATCTCTGCTCACATTTATTTGTTCTGATTTTTCTTCCACCCCTGCTCTTCCTCCACGGTTTATCCCAGCCAAACTTCTCTCTGTCTCCCCGGAACCTCTGTCTGGGGAGCCGTGGGTTCCCACTGCCTCCTTTGCTTGTCTTACACACCTGTGACATCTTGCCAGGGGTCCATGAAGCCGCTGAGTCTGCACTAGCCTCGTGTAGCTCCTGGCTCCACTGTGCTAACAGCCTGTGCTACACAATTGACCTGCTAACATGTTCTTCTGGACATGCCGTGATCTCATATGTGTTAAATGTGTCTTGTCAACCATATTTTAAAGCTCTGTAAGAACAAACATTCTGGACCCTCAGTAAATACGTATTAATTCATAGCCCTTATTCAAGCTTCTATCTAGACCAGTAACCATGAAAAGCAATCCAGTGATAAGTTTTTTTAGAAAGAAAATGTCATGTTTTTGCATGACGTGTTTGCAGTACTCACTGGTTGATGGAGTCTTCCACCTGCTCGCTGAGTCCCCGAAATCATCAGGTTTATTGGGAACACAGTGTAAACTGCCAGATACCCACATGAGGTTTTAGCTTATCTTAGTTAAAGTTTTAATATTAATTTATTTATTTGACTAATAACTCAGTGAAAGAACCAGGAAAAGGGATGCAGAAATGCATCAGAAGGGTTTGTAAGAATCGGGTTTTAAAAATCGATTTTAGGTAGCTTAACAGGGAAATGATTGAGTTTTTGGCTCAAGGCTTCAATAATCTGGATTGACCAAGAGTAGGCTGAGAAGCATGGGTAGTGGATGAGAAAAGAAAGAAAAAACATCATAGGTTGGGTTTGAGGGTAGAAGAGTGAAACAGTGTGAAGATTCTAAATCCTTGTTAAATTTATCACTTTTCAAGTAGAGACTTAAATATGTGACTTGACAGAAAATGAAAAATAGAAGGGGCTTTCCTTGATTTGAGGTTTTTTTCAAGTTAACCTCAGGGAGTCTTTTGCTTTTATGTTAAATACTTCAGATTTATTTCAAGTTTTTAATGTTCATCTAAAGAAAAGTAAGAACCTGTTTAGAAGTAGGAGGAGAAATTAACATGTTTTAAAAGTGCCACAGGTTGATCCTGGAAAATACCATAGTGGTATAAATGACTCTCAGCAAGTCTTAAAAAGCAGCTCATTTTTTCCTTTTTAAAGCTTTAGTGTAAGATTCTTCATAAAAGAGTAACATTACAGCCTTCAAATATGAAAAGTGTATCTGAAATTATTTTATTTGAAATTACATTTTATTTTTGATTAGGCAGTACATTCACATGGCTCAAAAAATTAACAGTGTTAAAAAGTGGAACACTCATCTCTACCTCTGCCCCAGAAGTCATCACTCTTAAGTTGTTTAATGTATCCTTCCAGTGTTTGGCTTTTGTTTTTAATGTTTTGGGGATTAAAACACTGTTTCTTTTCTGTAAGTAATGAATTTCAGTATTTCCTTTATTTTGGTGCTATTTTTGTTTGTTGGTTTTTTTTGAGACAGAATCTTCCTCTGTCACCCAGGCTAGAGTGCAGTGGCGCGATCTTGGCTCACCGCAACCTCTGCCTCCTGGGTTCAAGTGATTCTCCTGCCCCAGCCTCCCAAGTAGCTGGGATTACAGGCATGCACCACCACACCCAACTAATTTTTGTATTTTCAGTAGAGACAAGGTTTCACCATTTTTGCCAGGCTGATCTCAAACTCCTTGTCTCAAGTGATCTGCCCACCTCAGCCTCCCAAAGTGCTGGGATTACAGGCATGAGCCACCACACCCTGCCAATTTTGATGCTGTTTTTAAATTAAGATATCATTGGGAAATGGAATTCAGTATTGTCTGTTTCTTAAAACCTCAAGAACATTCACTTGAAATAAGGATGTTTTATGTTTTAAACTATTCAAAAATAGGCTTTCACAAAAGGACTTCTTTTTGATGTGGGAAATTATATGCTTTGTTAGTTTAGGCTTAGTAATCTTGGTGCTTTTACATTTTTAAAAATTAACCTTCATTATGAAAACTTTCAAAATAAACAGAAGTAGCTAGGTAATGGATGGTTCAGTCAAAAGAAAAAAGGACAAAGAAAAAAATGAATAGAAAACAAGTAGAAAGAGCAACATAAGTAACCTCCGTGTATTCATCTCCCAGATTCTACAGTTGTCGAGATTTTTCTATATGGGCTTCATTGATCTCTTAAAATTTTCTTTTTTCTTGCTTTGTTCCTGTTTTCCTTCTTCCCTCCCTGCTTTCCTCCCTTTCTCTTTTCTCATTACTCAAGTACAGGGATACCTTCTGAGACATGCATCGTTAGGCATTTTGTCATTGTATAATCTTAGAGTGTACTTACACAAACCTAAGGGTATATAGCCTACTACACACATGCCTATGCTCTCTGGTATAGCCTGTCGCTCCTAGGCTACAAACCTGCACAGCATGTTACCATACTGAATCTGTAGGCAGTTGTAACACAATGATAAGTATATGTGCATCTAAACATGTCTAAACATAGAAAAGGTACAGTGAAAATAAGGCATAAAAGATAAGAAATGGCACACCTGTATAGGGCTCTTACCACGAATGGAGTGAGTCCGTGAGTGAGTGGTGGGTGAATATGAAGGCCTAGGACATTACTGTGCATTATTATAGATTTTAGAGAC